GCCTTGTAGGTGGTCTATAATTCGTGCCTCTAGCCCGAGTGCTCACCCTGGTGTCAGGGCCAGTGCAAAGACAGGTGTGGCTGGAGGGTGGCTGATCTCCTTGCTGGATCACCTTTGGGGTGTCTGTTTGTCCACTGGCTCTGGAATAAGCTCAGACCTGGCTCGTGGGTGACCAAAGCATTTCTCCTGCTGGATCTGACTTTGACTGTTGTTACTGGGACGGTTCTCCAGTCCCTTGCTCTCAAGAAGCAGGTATGAATTTGGGGCTTTTAACTTTTTGGGGTGAGGAGAGGCTTTTTAGGTTATGAATATGTTCTGCCTGTTCCAGATGAAAGTTGAAAAATATCTGCTTTGATTAAACTTCTTTCTGTCTGAAATCATTACATGCTTTCGCTCCCGAGACTGAATCACTGGGCAGACCCTTGTACACAGCCTTTTACTTAAAAAACATCTTTGTTAATTTACAGGTTTGCAATGTAACCACTTAGTGGTAGAAGCTTTGTTAACAAGGGCTGATTTTGAGCATGTTCTCTGTCCTGCAAGCTGCCAAAGGGAAAAGCAAACCCGTACTTGGGCATAGCTGCTGGTGTCGCAGGGCTGTCTCATGTTTCATGTAGTTTTCTCTTATTTCTTCCAAGAGATTTCATGGTTTGACTTCTGCAGAAAGCTGGAGAGCTCAAGTCTGGCACATGGGCTGGTGAGACACAGATCTGACTCTTTGCAGCTTATTTACAAATGACAGCTCCAAAATCACTCCCAGGGCATGCAGGTTCATCCTTCCTCCTTAACTCTTGTGCCATGGAATCAGGGGGAATCCTACCTGTGCATCAGGAATGGCTTGAAGATACCATTCAGGGATGTGACTGGATTAAATTGTGCCCATGCAGACACTGCAGTGTAAATTCATATAAACTATCCCCATTTTCTGCTCTGTAGCAGTGGCTCTTCCTCTCTTCCCTGGGTCTCAGCAAATCCATGGCACTGCCAGGGAATCTAGATCAAGGCTTTCTCTTGAGCAGGGTTGAGCACCTCCTGACATTGCCTTGAATTATATTTTGAACTTTGGGAAGAGGATGAGGAGGAGATACACACTGAAAATCCAGTCTCTCTGCCTCACTGTCACTCTTTTCCTAATCTTGCTTTTTGGGGGAAGGTAACATCCAGTTCTCCTCATGCACTGTTTCTAGTTCTTTTTCGTCACTTAGTTTATTTTCTAATTGCCAAAGGAATTTAAGGATTAATTTAAATTCCAGTGTAGTTGAGATACTCCCTAACTTGTTGCTGGTATTTTTCTTCTGCCTTTTCCCTTTTCTCAAGCTCACAGGCATGAAGAGATTAATGAAGCAGTTTCTTTATACAGTTTTTAGTGCAGTAAATGCTGAAGTTGCCTGTCACAGCACCACCCTCTTTGTACTAAACACCATAGGTAGAAGACTTCTTTAAGAAAATAAATAGGATGAGATCTGCGTGGAGCTGGTGTTGGAACTGCCCCTCTGAGATGTGCTGTGGTGTTGGAGAGCTGGGGGTGCAGGAGTGGGACCTCTCTGAGCATCACTTGAGACCCCAGATTTTTTCTTGGCGTCTTGTCCCATTGCGTCACTTTGCTCTTCCTCCTCTCCAGAAAGGAAAATCATCAGCTGCACTTAATCCTGACATATGTTCCTTTTTAATTTGTTACGCCAGGATGGCAACTGGAGCAGCGAAGGAAATCTGGTGCACAGCGCCAGCCAGAGCGGAGCCAGATGAACCCGGCGCCTTGCAGCGTGTCAGGGAGGGAGGGAAGGAGGGCTCCAGGTGTACTCACAGCTCTGGGGCTTTCTGCTCTCTTGCACACCTGGGCTCCTTAAATGGGGCACAGGAATATCTAGGGCAGGAGCACAGGCTGCTCTGTGGCTGCAGCTGTCCGTGCCCAGCTGGCAGCACGAGCGGCCGAGAGTGTGAGATCCGCACCGCTGCTGGAGGAGATGGAATTCCTGCGTGGAGCCAGGACTCAAACAGCATCTCCTTGGGTTTTGTTTTCTCTGAGTCCCCTTCCCATTTAAATTCCTGTGTGTCTGAGGCTGGGAAGGCAGCTCTCCCACCCAGGTGTCCACATTGCTCTCGCCTCTGTCCCTGGTCACCTTGGGCAGGTCCTGGCGCAGAGCTGAGCACTTGTCACTGCAAAGTTTGGACATTTGGCAGCTTGACAGCCAAAGTGTTGTGCCATAAATATGTCTGGCCTGCTCCTGCAGGCACTGCTTGAGAAGTAACAACAGCATTTGTGTTTCTGATCCAGGTAAGGTTTGGAAGGAGGAGGTTTTGTAGGAAAACAGTGCAATGTGTCGGGTTTGGGCAGGTATCTTGCTCTGGTGCCTGGAGCATTCAGTCATTGACAACAATTATCCTTGTTAGAGTATCATCCAAAGTCTGTGATGGCACTTGACTCTTTGGGTGAGTGACTCAGCTGAGTGACTTGCACACGTTTTGAGGAGCATCTCTGCATCCTCCCTGTGCAAATGGAGGCAGCACTGAAAAGCTCCTCTAGGTGAGCCAGTAAATATTTCCCAGTGGTGGAAGTGAAAGAATGAGACCAGGAAGGCAGCCTTTCTCCAGGGTGCAGCACACTGGCTCAGTTTTAGCCCCAGGTCAACTCAAGGCTGACTCAAGCCCTTGGTCACAGCCTGGTTTGCTCAGATGATTCTCATTAAATTGGCATGTTTAGGCTAAAAAAGGAGAGCTTCAGAAAGATGTTTTTTATCTGCATTTATAGATGCCCCAGGTCATTAGCAGGAAGCTTTTAAATTTAACAATCCTGTTTGCTTCTTGTCTGTTGGAGTGGGCTTGGAAAGGAAGGTGTTGGCTTCTTGTGGGCTTCAGCTTTGGTGTCTCACACAGTAGCTGGTTTTATTTTGGGGTTATAAATTCTATGTGAAATTTATCTCCCTCCCTGTAAATTAACCAAATTAGTTCTGCTTTCTTAATGTGCCCTAGGAATATTGTAGGAAGGAATAGGAGAGAACTTAAGGATTTCATGCTCTCAGAGTATGGCAATATCAGGTTGGGAAAGGGGGTTTCATGGGAGGAGAGGAGGCAGTGGTGACAGTGGGTCCCTGCATGCAGCTGACACTGAGTGCTGGAGAGGCACAATTAGTGCTGTTTTGATAGCAAAATTTGGGTCATTTAGCAATGTGTCCCTTCCTTGCCTGAGTGAGGGAACTCAGACTTTTTGTGGTAGAAATACCCCTAACTTTGTGTACAAAATTTACTGTTTTGCTGCATTTATGTAGAGAGGAAAGAAAGTCAGGGGGTTTTCCCTGCTCTTGCTGATAAACTCACCTGCTGGAATAGGTGCCTACATGTATAAATGATGTCATGTTCCTACATCAATACATGATTATTCATCTGAATATCACATTCATGCATGGGAATGACAGGGAGGGTCTGCACATCAGGGTTCAATTGTATGGAAGCTGGAGCACATGTACAGTAGTTTGCAATACGGGATTAATGTAGTTATTATATGTTAAAATTAATAGTAGTTTCCCTTGGCTTCAATATCTCTCTACTTCATGAAAGCAAAGCCTGGAATTTTTTCCTTTTCTTTAAAGCAGGCTTAGATAAATGAAGACACAAATGTTCTGAGATGTGAGTTTTGTAGCGATTCCAACCCAAGTTATTCCACCTGTACTGACAGGACAGGAAAACTTGGATTTTCACTGTGTATCATCCCTGCTTCCCCTTCCTGCAAACAGCAGAAAGAAATGCTGGGAATAACAAAGTTCATTTGTTACCTCGCTGGCATTCCCCATGACTTGCCATAAGGAAAATAAATTAGGCAGCTCGGTGGCTGAGCAGGTGCTGGGGCTGACAGAGCAGATCCTAGGCAGCAGCACGAGGGCTCAGGTGCCAGTTTGTGTTTTCTCTGCTCTCAAAAGCAGCATTTTTGTTGTTGGGAGTCGAGAAGTAGCAGGTTTGGGTTGTATTTCAGTGCATAATTTTGCCACCTATTCAGCACTCAATAGGAATGTAGCATTTCATTGTTTGCCCGGGCTCAAAAGCTGAGTTTCTTGCAGCTGACAGATATTGGTAAGAGCTGTGGATAACAAATTAGATGGTAGTGGTCCCAAGCCCAGCTTGCATCACTGAGTGGTGGAAGCTGAGTTGAGCTCCCTCACAGCCTGAACTGGGGTGCAGCTGGACGTGCCGGGGACCCAGCCGTGTTCCTGGGTGGGACAAGATGCTCACATCTCGTTAGTGAGTTAATTGAGCAAGGGGAGGGGCTGCTTGAAGGGCAGGGAGTGGGGACCATCATCTCAGAGGGATGGTTTCTTTGGGGTCGCGGACGCTGGAGACACTGGCAGTGCAATACAGAGCACCCCACAGGAACTGTGCTTTGGAGATCCTTAGGCTTTGTCTGCTGAGCTGTCCGCATTTTAAAAACCAAAAATACCCCAAAACACCCCTCTCAAAAAAAAAAAAAAAAAAAAGGTATCCCAGTATTACATTAGGATGTTTCTTCTGTTTTGTCTGATCCCAGCCACTGGAGCTGCTGATAGATTAGACACCAGAGACAGACTGCACACAGGAGTGGGGCTGTGAGTAACTGATACCAGCTCATCTCAACAACCCCAGGCCCATTCCAGTCACTTCTGGCACAGCCCAAGTCCAGAGTGCTGCTTGCCTGGCTCCCGGAGGTTGGGATTCCTCTGGAAAGGCTCAGCGAGATGTGTACCAGAGAGATCTTAAACAGGGGCAAAGCAAATCGACAGAAACACTTTGAACAGCATCTTTGGGCATGAGGGGTGAGGAGATGGAGTCAGGAGACTGGGATGGTGAGCACTGACACCACAGGCATGACCCCTGATGCCTGTCCCCAGCTCAGGACCCTCCAGAACAGCGTGGGAGCCTTGCGTGACTTCCCCCAGCTCTTATCTTCACCCCTGCAACTGCTCCCGGCGTGCTGGGCGGGGAAATGCGTGTCAGTGACTGTCACTAAGCCTTGCCACCTTCTCTTGGTACAGTTGCTGGTGAGAAGAGGGTGCCAGTGATGCCCGGATCGCCCGTGGAAGTGAAGATACAGTCCAGGTCCTCTCCTCCCAACATGCCACCGCTGCCCCCCGTCAATGCCGGCGGCCCCCGGCCCGTGTCCTTCACCCCGACTGCACGTAAGCGCGGCTTAGCTCGGTACTGCTGCTTGCCCTGGGAGCAGCTGCAGCCAGCAGGGCAGGCTGTGCTCACAGAACTCCCTGGGGTGTCCCAGCCATCAGGCAGGCACGGCGGGTGATGCTGCCTGGCTGTGCAGGAGGGGGCACCGGGGCTTTCCTGCAGTTCTGTAGCGCATGCAGGACATAAAACAGGCTGTGTAATCCCCCTTTGCCCCCCTGCCTGCTCCTGCCTTGCTCCTGGTTCTGTCTTGAGTCTTTCTCTTTGCAGGTGCAGCCTTGATTTCCACCATAAACTCCTTAAGAAATTGAATCTTTTATCAGGTCAGCTTCAAGCAAGCCAAGAGCTGGGCTTTCCTCTTTATCTTTTGGAGGAGTTAATTCCCACTCTGCTGTATCTCACTTTGCAGACAGCATTCCTGCAGCTGAGATTAGAAAGTTTTTCATTTTTTTTAATTTCCCAGCCTTGAAAATTCCTTGCTGTCCATCCAGATTCTCTTTTTACCATCTTCTCTTTATAATCTTTCCTATTAAGCCACATTCAGTCCTGATCCTGCCCAGCTGTAGCACAGCCTTGCACCCACGTCTTCTAGCTGAGTGTTGCTCAGAGGTGACTCCATGGATGGAAAGCACCTTCAGCCTTTTCTTACGGCCTAGAAAGGGTCTTTTATTTCCTTCTTTAGCCAACATTTAAGCCATTTAATGTCTTTTTAAAAGCATTGTTCCGGAGCAAAGCTCCTTTACTTTGTTGGACATGCAGTTATCTGACCCCCACACGTGGCATGTACATATTTTCCATGCTCTCCTCACCCCTTTTCCCTGCACAGAGTGTTCCCTAGCTGGTTCTGCGTTGCTGTGCTGTCCATGACAGTGTCTGGGCTATCTCAGATTTCCATGCTGGCAGTGGGGTTTGCAGATTTCCAGCCCAGCCTCCTGGAGGGACACACTGTGATGTGCTGGCAGCAGCGCTAATCACTGGGTTATCCCACCAGACACATTGTCCCCATCTTTATGTGCTCAGGCGTTTTTAATGGCTCTCCTTTTGCTCAGGCAGAAAAAGACCATTAGCAAAGTGACAGAAATTAATTTTTCCAATGAGGATGCTTGGCACGCTGTTAAGGGCCAAGAAGCCTGAATCTGCTGATTGCAGATGACTTAATTGCCTCTTTCCAAGACATGTGAGAGATGTGACCTATGGTGAAGTTCATTCTTGCTTTTTCATTTCTCAGTTGCACCAGAGGGTCGTGATCACTCAGTGGGGGTGTGACCTGCCCTGGCTTGGGCAGGTGAGGTGGAGCAAAGCCATGCCTGCCTGTGGATCACTAGCACAGGGTTGGAGAAGCGGCAAAACCTTTGACTGTGTAGGACCTGGGGCAGAATTTAAGAGTAGCCTTAGATGATGACTTTGTTCCCAGGAATTTTGTCATCCTGCTGTCCCCAAACCAGCAATCTCACTGGTCTTGGCACACTGCCTTGCTTGTTCCAGCACTGTGCTCTCACCTGGAAGTGGAGGTGCCAGCCCTGCTGTGTGGTCTGTGGTGGAGCAGATCCTGGTGATGTGCAGGATCAGATAACTGCCAGCTGCCCTGTGGTGGTGCCGTTGGCAGAGGCTCGGGAGGCTGAGCCCAAAAACGCAGCGTGGTCACGGAGCCGTGTCTAACGGCATCCCCTGGCCACCAGCATCCTCTGCTCCCTCCTTGGCAGCCTCTCCCGAGGGTCCCCCGCAGCCCCAGGGGTGTCTCACAGCCCCTTTCTCCTGAGCTGTAAATAGAGCCTGTTGCTCTCCCCAGACTTTCATCTGAAAGAATAAGAGGAAGTGAAATAGAGAAGGGGGAAAGTGCCTCAGTTGTGGCCGCCGGAGAGCACGGAGCTGCACAGCCTTTGCTGTTTGAGAGGAGCTTCTCTTGGCAGCTTCACCCTATTTATAACCCTTTTATAGTGAAATAAAGGCCTTTATGAGTAATTACCAGAAAGGCCTTGCCTTTCACACAGCTCTGGTGTACTCTGTGGAGCTGTACCTGTGAGTACATCTTGATGTCCCTGTTGCTTTGCTGCTTTGGGAGTGTGTGTGAAAAACAGGAGTTTTTCAGGTTGCTTTGCTCCGTAACAAAAGGCATGAGCTCACATTGCCTTTGTACCTCCATCCTCTCAGTGCTGGCCTTCACCTTCATCTCATCATCTGTCTGTGGGGGCTGTCACCCCTTGGTTAGCAGGAACCACCTTTGTTGGTCTCTGTAGCCTTATCTTTCCTTGAATCGTAACTGACTCTGGTTCAGTTTCCCTCCTGTGCTCACCACCAAGGTCCAGGTGTGTGGAGCCTTTCTAGCCTCCAACCCTGGCATGCCCCGGAGTGGTTTAACTGTTCAAGTACCTCCTGGCTTCTCTGAAAAACTCCTCACTGGGTTCATCAGGATTTGCTATGATCCTCATGAAGCTGCAGCAGAAATTTTGGCATCTTTTCTTGCAAGTTTCTGCTCCTCCCACAGGCAAGGGGCAGCTCTGCCAGGTGGTTTCAGGGCTTCTCTGAATGCCATCAATTGAAATGGTTTTATACTTTGTGGCCCCCTTGTCAGCACTTAAATCCATAAGGGATTCAGGGCTGGGTTTTTAAAGATAAACCCCGTGGATCAGCTATGACTCTTATTTCAAATTTTCACTGAAATTCTGGGTTTATACCGAGCTGGGGCCCCAGTGCACAGCTGCTCATCAGACAGGGCTCGACATTGCACAACCACAGCGTGGAGATGTCAACAATTTATCCTAATCCCTTGCCGAGTTCCCAAACTTCCAGCCCTTCAGTCTGTTTCAACATGCTCACCACTTACAGGAAGGCAAAGTTGCAGATGGGACCAGGTGGAAAAAAACAACTGTGTTTGCAAAACTCCCTGTAAATCCCCGGGGAGGGATGGCAGGTACAGGGCAGGCTCTGCCAGCCCTCCTTGGTGATGTGGAGCCACCTGAGCTGCCCCTCAGCAGCAGCAGCAGCCTCCTGGCTGGAGGATGGATCCACTTCAGCAGCAGACCACAGGGATGTGCCCATCTGGTGCTCAGCATCGCTTCTGTCTCCCCTTTGCAGTGCCCAACGGAATAAACCATTCCCCCCCGACGCTGAACGGGGCCCCATCCCCACCCCAGAGATTCAGCAACGGCCCTTCCTCATCCTCCTCCTCCTCACTGACCAACCAGCAGCTCCCAGCCACGTGTGGAGCCCGGCAGCTCAGCAAGCTGAAGCGCTTCCTCACCACCCTGCAGCAGTTTGGGAATGACATCTCCCCAGAGATCGGGGAGAAGGTCCGGACCCTCGTTCTGGCCCTCGTGGTAAGTCCTGCACTGTCCCAGGCTGCCTGGCTTTTCCTGGCACACAATGTCATCTGTTTGCATCTTTGCTGAGCAGGACTCTTATGTTTGTGCTTCCTGAGAAACTCAATGATGTATTTTTCCCTGCCTTTGCTATGTTTCAAAAAGCTGTTGTCCAGTGGCTTAGGCACAAGCTTGTGTGCAGCTAAACTTAAGGAAAGCTGGAAGGAATTGGACAAAGCTTTTCTGTAAATCATGGAATCACAGAATGGTTTGATTTGGGACCTTAAAGATCATCTCATTCCTAACCCCTGCTGTGAGAACGCCCTTCAAACCAAATGAACAGGTCCTGCTGTAGAATTGTATCAATTGTTTGCATTATACACAATAACTGGGAGAAATACTGTCCAGTGCATTAGACATGATACTCCACATGCTTTACAAAGGCATGGAATGACAGGACAAGAGGGAATGGCTGTAAACTGAAAAAGAGGAGGTTTGGATTGCATATTAGGAAGAAATTCTTCCATGTGAGGGTGGGGTGCCCAGAGCAGCTGTGGCTGCCCCTGGATCCCTGGCAGTGCCCAAGGCCAGGCTGGACAGGGCTTGGAGCAGCCTGGGACAGTGGAAGGTGTCCCTGCCCATGGCAGGATGGAATAAGATGGCCTTTAAGAACACTTCCAACCCAAACCATTCTGTGACCTTGGACTGAGGCCCTGGAGCCTTGGGCAGCTGTGGTCCCATGGGGCACCCAGTGGGGCTTCTGCACTGAGTCTGCTTTCTGGCACATTTTCTTTTGAGTCTCAGCAGGCACTGAAGAGAGCTAAACTGCAGCAGCCTGGAGCATTTCTGCTTCCAAGGCAAACCTGAGTCTGTCCGTGTCCTCAGGGCCACTTCCAGGCCTTAAGCAATAGATGAAAAATGCTGCTGCTGCATTTATGTAGCATATTTAATTCCATGGATGTAGGGTAGTACCTTAGCCTGCCCTTTTGGGGAGGGAAGGAGAACCTGTCCAGGTCCCTTTGGCTGTTGTTCTCACCCCAGATTGTGCTTATTGCTGCAGGGCTGAGTTTTGTATGTGCAATTACCAAATGCTGCTGTCCCAGGGATTCCCCAGCCTGAGCAGCCCCGGGGGAGACAGGAGAGGAGAGGACCACAGTGACCAGAGGGCTGATGAGACTCCATGGATGGGTTAGATGAGGAGAACTGAAGGTGTGCAGTTCTGAGCAGCTGGGATCAAAGTCTCACTCCACACAGCCTGCCCCAGCATGCAGTAGATGCCAGCTGGGTCCTGCTGCCCTGGAGTCAGCCTCTGCCTCCCACTCTGGGGCTGGGGGGTGCTGAGGCAGGCAGTTCCCACCCCTCTCCTAGTGCAGCATTCCTGCTCCGCTGGCCTGAGCCTTGCTGGCTGCATCCAGCAGGATCCAATGCAAACACTGTCAGTCCTGGAGCGGCAGATGCTGTCTCCCTTCCAGTTCTGTTCATTTGGAGCCATTTCCCACATGTCTAAAAATAAGAACAAATTGCCATTTCATTTCTTAATTTCTTTTCTCAGAACTCAACGGTGACAATCGAGGAATTTCACTGCAAGCTGCAAGAGGCGACCAACTTCCCCCTCCGGCCATTTGTGATCCCCTTCCTGAAGGTGACAGAGAGCTGCTGGGGTTTGCTGGCACTCCTTGTGCCTCTTGGCACTGTGACATTGCTGGGAGAGCTCTCCTTGCAAGCACCACAGCAATTCCAGAGCCCAAGACAGACTGCACAGGGTGTAGCACTGGCCGTGTGGGACTGGCTGTCGTTGTGCTGTGTGCCACATATGTCTGCTTGTGTGCTGGAGATAAAGGAGGCAAACCCAGCTCCATGTGGCAGCTTCTGAGCCTATTTGCAAATGTTCAGATCTAGAATGTTTGAAGTGCTGGCACACGGAGTCTGTCTGGGATGGTTAAATCACAGAATTGCAGGATGGTTTGGGTTGGAAGGGACATTAAAGCCCATTTCATTCCAGCCCCCTGCCATGGGCAGGGACACCTTCCAATAGACCAGGTTCCTCCAAGCCCTGTCCAGCCTTGCCTTGAGCACTTCAAGGAATGGGGATTCCATAACATCTCTGAGTAACTAGATGCTGGAAGCACACAGTGCTTCCTGTAACACTTGGATTTTGGGTCCACCATCATCAGGTTCCTGGGAAAATACAGGTTAATCTGACAGTGCAGGAGCTGGAGGATCCTGGGTGGGGGTCATGGGGCACAGGTGTTACTGCTTTGAGGTACTGATGAAGACCAAACCTTTTGGAACAGCTGGAAACCCCCTGCCCTGCTGTAATCCAGCCCTGTGCTTGTTTTGCAGGCCAACCTCCCTCTGCTGCAGCGGGAGCTGCTGCACTGTGCCCGCGCTGCCAAGCAAACGCCCTCCCAGTACCTGGCACAGCACGAGCACATCCTGCTCAACACCAACACCACCTCTCCCACTGACTCCGAGCTGCTCATCGAGGTCAACGGCAATGGCAAGAGGCACAGTCCAGACAGGTGAGAAACAGCTTTTGTCACTCCGCTCAGTTGTTGAAGTCGTGACTTTTGTTTTCTCTTTGCTGCTGACAAAGCTTTAAGCAGCATCCAGGATCTTATCACTCCCAACAACTATTCTGGCTGTTCTAAGACTCCAATGACTGCTCCTACTGCACTATGAATTCAGGTTGGGTTTCTCTTTCAGGCAGGGTGTGTCCCAGAGGGACTTTTGGGTAGCACTGAAAAGCCTGAGCCAGAGAGCTGAGCAGTTTCCCACCCCCAAGGCAATGAGCGGAGGCATTGGCAGGGCTGGGAAGGATGCGCTTCATTTTCACCACGTTTTATTCCAAGATAAAAGTTGTTATGCAATTATGTGGAGCATGCCTCAAATTTATAAAAACTGTGAAATTTTAATTTGGTCATGCTCAGAGAGATGAATCACAACACTCAAGCATCCTGAACCCTTTCCTTTCACGGGGTCGCTTTGTGCATCGCCTCGCAAATTGAGCGCATTTGTTTGAGCTCTCTGCATTTACCCCGTGGTAAAATCATTGCTGCCCAAACCCTGCTGATTCCAAATCTGCATCTTTCTGAGTACATTTATGGGATGCTAAGGAATGCCTGTCTCTGCTGGTGTGATTGCAGGAGGGAAGACAGCAGCTTTGAGAGGGAGCCGCTGCCAACAGAGCCTCCGGCCAAGAGGGTTTGCACCATCAGCCCCGCACCCCGGCACAGCCCTGCCCTCACCATCCCCCTGATGAACCCCAGCGGGCAGTTCCACCCCACCCCACCACCCCTCCAGCACTACACCTTGGAAGATATTGCCACCTCCCACCTCTACAGGGACCCCAGCAAGATGTTGGAGCACAGAGAGATCCGAGACAGGCACAGTGGGCTTGGTGAGAGCCTGGAGAGTTCCTGGTTGAGCTTTGGTGTTGGTCTCTGCTTGGCCACTCATGCCCAAAGATGGTTGATGCTGGGCATATCCTCACAGCTGAGTCTTTGCAGGGAGTTCAGAGGAAACAGCTCCCCATGGGAAGTTACAAACAGGAAGATTGAGAGTTTGTATTTCCCTGTATGAAGGCTGGAGTTCTCTGAGGGTGAGGAGGAAGGACTTAGTGTTTGAGTCGAGTGTAGCCAACCCATCAGACAGAAAGAGAGGACAGGGAAATAGAAATTAACTTTTCCAAGAGCTCCAAAGCAGGAGAATAGAGATTGACCCCCTGCCCCGTTTCTCTAAGGAATGTGTGGGAGGTGCATGATGTGTTTCCAACACAACAGCCTGAATCACAGGCTCTGAGCTGCTGTGAGTTTATAACAGGAAAACCAGCTCCACAAACAGGTCAGAACTGGAGCCACAAGTGGATTGTAGCACTTCCCAGACAGTGAAGCAGACAGGGATAAAAAAGCACCAGCATGAATTACCCCTGTAGAGCTGCCACCTGGAGATGTGTTTTTAAATCCCAGCTCTGTGGAGCTGGAAATAGAGCTCTTTATTCTTGCTTTGGGGCCACTTCTCTCTCCACTGGTCCATCTAATCCCTCTGTGGCTGTGTTGTGTTGCAGGGTTGAATGGAGGCTACCAGGACGAGCTGGTGGATCACCGCCTGACAGAGAGGGAGTGGGCGGATGAGTGGAAGCATCTCGATCACGTAAGGAATGGCAGGGGCTGTGGGAAGCTCTGTGGGAAGCAGCAACCCAGTGTTCCACATGCTCCAGTTGGTGATTTCCTTGTTGATATCATATCCAGGCTCTCCTGGTGGCTGGTGGAAGAACAAGCCACCACAAGCAGGTGGATGGTGAGAGGATCTGTAGCACTTCCTGGCAGGTTTCCTCTGCCCATGGTCAGTAGAAACTAAAACTGGTGTGGATGAAGTGTCTGGAGCTGGGGACCTGCTCCTGCAGAGCATGGCCAGGTGCTGCCATGGCTGGCTGAGCAACCAAACTCAGCTTTATCCCCACTGGGATCTTTCCTGCCCCAGCCCTGGCCAGCACAAGTGCACAGATGCACTAAGTGCACTCAGGATATGGACTTATAAAATGAGTAAACCTATCATTACTGTATTTTAAGATTTTTTTTCCCTGAGGTGCCAGCCTTTTATGGACCAAAAAAAGGCACCAACAGCAAGACCTGGTGCTTTTTATGCTGAGCTTTTTCCTTCTGAGCAAGGCAGCTCCTCCAGGCACTTCACTGCTGTTTCCATCAAAGAGATGGGATTAAAATTCAGCTTTGATCATAAATGCAGAGAGACCTCATGGTTTAAAGCTAATGGGGTTTTTTGAGGGAATGGTGTTGGGGTGGAGCAGAGGCCCAGTAGCTGAATATTTGGAGTTGGACTGTGACGTTGGAGCACTGACACCAGCATAACCAATCTTAATCCCATAGTGTCAGAATCGGAGGTATTGATGATTCCGAGATTGTAGAAAGTCTCTGTCTTTCTGCCCCGCTGCCAAAGCAGAAGCCATAATTCGTCTGTGCTGGTTTCAAGGTTGTTTATTCTGTTTATCTCTAACATGTTCTGCTGCCCTGCCGCAGCTCTGTCCTGCAGGGCAGCGTGTGGGGCTCTGCCCTCAGTGGGATGTTACAAACATTAAATACCACAAACTACCTGTGCTGGATTTACAATAACGTGCCAATATCTGTCACCTACGTTGGACAGTGTGTCCCCAGCCTGAACCAACAGAAAAATGCCAACACCACAGTGAAACATGGAGGGCATGAAGAAGGAGAAAAAGGACACGACACACCCAATTTCCTCCATCTTGTCCCCTTTGGACCCCTTATCTAGAATCCTAAAATTTTACTTTTGCACCCATGCCACACTTAATTATTACTTATATCAAACACTCAGAGCTTGTAATTCATCCTGTAAGATTGAAAACTCTTTTCCATGGACAGAGATCACAGACAGTGTCTCTGGGGGCTCTGTCCAGGGGGGTTCCTGACCCCTGCCAGGGCAGCCAGAGGGAAGCCCTGGATTCCCACACCATAGGAATGTGGTGGGGTTTTCCTCTCCACTTTTAGGAGCGTGTCCTGGAGGTGTTGAGCCAGCTTGTGTGGTGACCCTCCCTAATGCTGTGCCTGGGATGGTCACTCCGGGGTGAAATCCAACATGACCAACATCTACCTTTCGCCCCGCAGGCCCTGAACTGCATCATGGAGATGGTGGAGAAGACGCGGCGCTCCATGGCGGTGCTGCGGCGCTGCCAGGAGGCCGACAGGGAGGAGCTCAACTACTGGAAGCGGCGCTGCTCCGAGACGGCCGAGCCGCGCAAGGCGGGCACCGAGCTGCTGAGCCGCCAGCACAGCCCCGCCAGCGCCGACTCCGCGGGCAGCGGTGAGCTGGGCACGCACGGAGGGGTGGGTGGGTGGGCAGAGCTGGGTTAGGCACTGCCCTGGATGTGACAGCCTGGCCAGACACACACAAAGCTCGATAAGTTCTCTGATGAGTCGGCCTGGGAGGCTTTAGGCAGCTGGAGATAAACAGTGATAGTCAAATATTAAAACAGTTTGCAGGTGGTGGTTTTTAACAATCTGTTCCGTGTTTTTCTCATAAGGTTGCTTACAAATGGGTGTCTTATTAATTAGCCAATCGTGGAATGTATTGATTAAATGACCAGTCAGGTGCACCTGTAGTGAACTAAGGTATAAAAGAAGAGACGATCAAATAAATGGGGCTTTTGCCATTTTGCCTTCTAAAAAACAATAATAAACCAAACCATAACAAAAAAAAACCAGGCTGGCACATCCACACAGTGCTTAAGTATTTTTCTCAAGTATTTGCAGAGAGACGACACAGGAAGCAGTTTCTGTCAGCGTCTAAAGGCACCTTTGCTCATGCTTTTTCTTGTCACTGCTGGCCAAAGTTGGTCCAAAGCTGGGGGTGAAAAGGTAGGGAAGAGGTTTTAGTCTCCACCACTCTCCCCCTTCCAATCCCTCTTGCCTTAAGGACTTTAAATGTCAAGGTCTATTTAGTCTAAAAATACCAAAGGCTTTTGTAAGTGTAATAGCTACCTGTGTTACTAATTCTATTTTTGTATCATGAGTCAACTTTATCAAAGCTGACTGGTTTCCCCATCCAGTATGCAGAGGTTTGACCCTATAGAACAAACAAGTTTTAAATGCTGATTTATTTCAATGTAATTCTGATTTCCATCCAAACAAACCCACTGTAAATCAAGTTCTGGGGAAAAACCCTCTGATTATTCGGTAATAAAAATGGATTTCTTCCAGCAAGAATAAATGTCAATTTGATGTATATTCTACTTGTTTGTATACAAAATATAGAGTGAATCCTCCTGCAAGGAATCCAAGTGCCCCTGGCTCCAGTTGCCACCAAGCCTGAGGAGCAGTGGGTGTATGTGACAGCCTGGTGGGCACAGCCAGCTTTTAGCCCTTCTATATTTAAATATATCATGACTAATACACTTCAGCCCCATGTTGTTAAAGGTGATATAATTAAAAATTTTTATATAAATTTGGAAAGCTGTTGCTTTCTCCCCTTGTGGGACCTAGGGATAATTTTCAAGCTCTATTGCTCTTGTGAGAAAGTTCAGTTAAGCATCAGGCAGCATCTCCAGGTGTTTTGGAGGACAGTTTGTCCATCAGTTCAAGCCTTTGGATTGCCCTGGGATTGGGAAGTGCTATGCTTGATGTAAACTGCTGGTGTGCAGATTGATGCTCACAGCCTCTGGACAGTGCAGAAGTTGGATAACATACATTTATAAGCATTGCCTGTTGTTTTAGAGTACAGACAGGAGATAGGTTATGCAGAGTCATAAATTATGCAAGGTGCTAATTAAATGTTGTAATTTATCATCTGAGTGTTTGAGGAATGGCTTTAACCATAGGAATCCTCTGCTTTGAGTTTTAATGGGTCAATCCTTCCCTGCCCCGTGATGTCCTGAGCTACTACTGGGCACATGAGGCAGCTGGGTGGGATGAGGCTTTGCTGACCTTTCCCTGTGTCCCTTGCTCCAGCAGATTCCCTGCGGGAGTTCAGCAGCAGGTCGGGAACGGGCTACGTCACGGAGGAGATTTGGAAAAAAGCCGGTGAGTGTTTGTGGTGACCCGGCCGGGATCCTGCCGCATCGCCCGGGGTGAACACAAACCACACATGCTGCAGATCTGCTGTGCAGGAACAGCAGGAGCCCAGCTGCAGCAACGCCCCGGGATGTGCACATCTGGCTGCCATCGTCCCCACCCTGGCTGTCCCAAAGGGCTCTGCTCCTCTGTGGTGCCACGGGGATCCCGTGGGACTGAGCCTGGCCTTGCTGCTCGTTGGTGCTGGGAGCACGCTGCTGGAGCCGTGTTTCTCTGGGAGGCTCCCTCACTCCCAGGGTGGGTGGGTGAGGCTGCTCTGTGAGAACCCCGGGATTGATTCAGGGGTCTCGTGTGGTGGTAAAGTCTCTCCTCCAACCTGTGCTTCCAAAGAAAGACTCCACAGCCTCTTGTGGTTCGGTCTCAAGGCAGTTTATTGCTGGTTATCTAAAAGATTGTCTTTGCTCGCTGCGGCTGCCTAGATCAGCGGCCCAGGCAGAGACACACACACTCCTGACACCCTCACTGTCCGGTGTCTTCTTCTCTCTCCCTGCCCAGGGCTGCTGCTATCTTTTATATGATATATTACGTATTATATGTTTACAGATTTTCCCCAATACCTACTACCTATGTTACAATGTGCTCTTCTACTCTAAACCAATCTGTGAGTGCCAACATCACCAAGAACATGGAAGCAAGGAAGAAGAAGGAGGAAGAACAGGATCAGGCCCACTTTCCTCCATCTTAGAACTCCTGACCCCCATGTACAAAGTAAAAACCCCCCCTGTACAGGTGTTAAAACCCCCCTGTACAATACTAAAAAATTTTTCCTTCTAATTTGTGACTACTTTTACTCTACCATCTAACTCTCTGTGACCGCTTGTTCCACCTTCAAAGTTGGTAATTCATTCCATGGTTCAAACTCAAGATCACAGCTGTTTTCAGCTGCTTGCCAGGGTCTAAAATGCTTCTGACCAAGGCCTGGAACCTCTAAAAATGTCTGAGGGACATTTTGAGTTCCGACACTGCTCTTTCCTTCCAGAAGAAGCTGTGAACGAGGTGAAGCGGCAGGCCATGTCGGAGGTGCAGAAGGCGGTGGCCGAGGCGGAGCAGAAGGCGTTTGAGATGATCGCGTCGGAGCGGGCGCGCATGGAGCAGACCATCGCCGACGCCAAGCGCCAGGCCACCGAGGATGCCTTCCTTGTCATCAACGAGCAGGAGGAGTCCACCGAGGTGAGCTGCCAGGGGACAGCCTGGCAAGGGCTTTCCAAGGCTGCAGAGCTTCCAGGTGAAGCCTGCTGGGTCCCCACGCCTTTTCACAGAATCATAGATTGCACAATGGGGTGGGTTGGAAGAGACCTCAAAGATCATCTCATTCCAAGCCCCTGCCATGAGCAGGGACACCTTCCACTAGACCAGGGGGCTGTAAACTCCAGTCTCCAACACCTTTTCCTTCTGGAAGTCTCTCTCCAATCAATAACTAAACAATGCACCAATATAATCAAAAATCCTTTTTAGGTTTTGCTGGCAGGGATTCAGCCTAAAATAGTGTCTGTGGACACGTGTGTGTACAACCACTGGGCACCCTGAGCTGGACTCAGTGTAATCACCAGGAATTTTGTGGGATTGAAAGAGGTGTAGAAGCAAAGAGAAAAGGAAGCTGGTGCACGCAGCAGTTTAGCTCAGAAATTATGGTGGGGTACTTGATCTTTGCAGGAAAGAAATTGCTGTTTGTGGGCTTGAAAATAGGGCAGGGCAGAAGCTGGGCTGCAGGAAAAGCTCTTGCACATTCCGGGTGGTCTGTACCACACTTGCATGTTGGAAAAGAAGGGATGGATCTTGGTTTGTCATAGCCAGTGCCACATGCTGAATGGATGCCTCAGAGAATCTCTTTCTCCTCTTCAATCATCCATCAGCCTCCCCGTTGCTTAAGAGGAAGTTCAGTTGGTAGATGTTTTGAGATTTTGGGCAAGGGGAATCACATGCTCATTCCTGCACTACCACATCCCATCCATGTGGGCTTTGCTTCATATTTTAATTTCTCTGCACATACAAAAGCAGAAAGTTTGTGTCAGCTGAGCAGAAATCTGATGGGACCATGCTCTTTGTGTCTGCTGGGTTGTGGAGGTAGCAGGTCCATCCCCTCCTCCTGGTGGGTTTCAGCTCAGGTGGGGCTCAGCAAGTGTGACCAGAACCATGGAATTCTAGGTGTCATTCCAGAGAATTATGTCCATGCTGCAATTCCCAATGGAATTGCTGAGGGTTGAAGGCACCAGTCTCATGATGGGAGTGGGTGGAACTGCTCAGGAAGCCATGGAAGGAATGAGACAAGTAGTGATTTCTCCATAGGGGAATAGCAGAGGAGTGTCCTCCTCCTCCAGCTGTGCTGAGGAGCAGTCTGGGACCTGGAGAGCTGCTGAGCACCCCTGTGCAAGCCCTAGAGCCCCTGTCTAAAAGCTGTGTGTGTTCTGACGCATCTTGTAGCCTTCGCAACACAGTTGAAAAACATTTGAAGTGTAAACAGCTGCGAAGCGGTGACCCAGTTTTCCAAGAGCTACCACACCTTTGTTGGGGGCTTTTTGGTCACAAGTCCTGTTTCTCCTGGAAGGTGGAGGACCCCTGGGGACACAGAGGCTCTGGAGCAGCTCTCTCCAAAGTGAACCGGTCAGGTGCTTCACTGCCAGCCCATAAATCATCACCGTGAGCTGGTGGCTCTAGTGCTGAGCCTGGGAGTGGGATCTCCCAGCCCTTCCCCACAGCAGGGCTGCCTGGTAGAGCCCAGCATCTCCCAGCACCCGCTCCCACAGCTCTTTGATGGCAGTCGCAGCAGCCACGTCCCCACAAAGGCCAGCTCTGACAGAGGCTGTGTTCCCTCAGCTGAGCTTCCCTCCCCTGTGTGTGTTTGCTACACCCCAGCCCAGCTGCAGGGAAGCTGCTCTGCCATCCCTCCCCTCCCCAGAGCAGCTGCAGCCCTCGCTCCGGCGCTGGCCCCTTACCCCGCGCTCCGAGGGAAGCGGTGGCACGCGGGAGCCACCAGCTGACACCTCTCCCTCTGCTTCCAGGTTGGAGCTCCAGCTCTGGCAGTGCTTCCACCTGGCTGGGAGGCTTTCAAATGAGCATTTGCTCTTCCAAATTGGCCTGCTCCAACCTCTTGTGCAGCGAGGCAGGGTGCAGAGCAAACGGTGCCTGTGCAGCGCGCCGTGATCCCTGCGGAGAGCGCTTGGCTGGGAGCAGGACCAAAATAGAGCTGCTTAAAACAGGAAATAAAAAGGCCCAATAGCAGCATCTGCAGCGTGTTTTTCAGTCCATGCCTGCTGTTTCCTCTCTGTATTAGGGTGGGTCTAGGGGAGAGGATGTGCCTGGAGCAGTGTGACAGCGGCTGTGGGCAAAGAGCAGCGGGGGTTAGAACCGTTGGCAAAGAGCTGGGAAATAGCAGGAATAAACGGATTGCTCATTTTCATATTCTCAAATCTGGGCCAGAGGGGATGAACAGTCCACTCCAGAGCTGAGTCAGCACCATCCTGCAGCTCCTAGGGAAAGGAAACCCCTTTCAAGCCCAGTGTCTTTGGTCTTGCAGAGCTGCTGGAACTGCGGCCGCAAGGCCAGCGAGACGTGCAGTGGCTGCAACATCGCCCGGTACTGCGGCTCCTTCTGCCAGCACAAGGACTGGGAGAGGCACCACCGCATCTGTGGGCAGGGCCTGCACGGGCAGAGCAAGCCCCTGGCCCTGCCCACGGGCCGGGTGGCGGCCAAGAGCCTCGATGGCATCCCCAGCCCAGCCCTGGAGAAAACCTCGGCCACCACCTCGCGCTCCTCCACGCCAGCATCCGTGACAGCCATAGACACCAACGGACTCTAGGAGGGAGGCTCTGCTTCGCTCCCCTGGATGAGTTCCCTGGGGTTTTTTAAGCTGAAAATGTCCCTGCAGCAACTGTTACCACTTGACAAATTTGATGTATCGGAGTGCCGACACTCCGGCTTTGCCCTCTCATCCTGCCCTTTCCTTTGTGGCTGTGAACTGGGGTGAGCCTCACCTGCAGCATCTCCCTGCTGCTCTCAGGGGGACACCAGAGCAGTGTCAGGACCTGAGGGACACTGGGCACCCGCTCGGGGGACCTGGACTGGGGCAGAGTGCTGGCACATGCCAGACATGCTGAGAGTGTGGTGCCCAAGCAGGGAGCCCTGTCCTTGTGGCATGTCAGGCTCGCTTCCCAAGGTGCCAGAGCCACCACTGCCTCCTTCTGCCACCTTTCCTCCATAATTCCCAGAGTCTGTTCCCTGTGCCCAGGCAGCTGTGCCTCAGGTGGCTGTGTGGGCCTGTTGTTGCTGTGAACAGACCAGAGCCAATTTCCCAGCAGGAGCATCTCATCCTCTGTGCAATGGCCAAAGCTGAGCCCACTTCTGCCTCCAGGCTGGCAGCTGAGGGTTGCAAAGAAGGAGGAGAGGATTTTTCTGCTCGAAAAGAAGAGGCAGTGGCAGGGAGGTACTGCTGGATGGCCTGGATCTCATCCCAGTCTGTGGTGAGACAGACAGTTGGGTGTTTCCTGGGTGGGCCCTGTGCTGGGGGAACACGTGCACAGCAGATCTGGGCTGGGTGCAGGTGCCCTTTCCACCTGGGGACCGTTGTTTTGTTTTTTCACTGCCTGGAAGCTGCTGGTTTGTGAGTTCCTGCTGTTGTTTTGAGCCCAGGGATCCTTGCTGGTGCGAGGGGTTATTTACAGCCTGGGCTCTCCACTCACATCGGCCATGCTGGTAAAAGAAAGGCAGGACTGGGTGTCCTGTATCTGTTCTTACCCAGCTCCAGGAGCTTCCTGCAGTGCTGCATCCAGAGATGCCCAGGGATGTGCATCCACCTTCAGAGATTATCCTGAAACCACAGGACCAGAGGATCCCAAAACAGAGGATCAGGAGGTCCCTGGGGAAGGGGCCAGCCTGAGGAGCTCCATCCATCCCAGAGTCCTGCAGTGGGGTGGAAGGAGGGACCCAGGGCAGCGCAGGCTGTGACAGCACAGGGCTGGCCAGGAGTGTCACACAGGGTGGCAGTGGCACAGCCCGTGGCAGGGAGGGGACGTGCCTCCAGGAGTGGCTCCCACAGGGGCTCCAGAAATCCTTCTCTTCAGCACAGCCGAGTTTGTGACTGTGTGTGTGCCACTGCTGGGCTGGAGCCCAATGAGGCAAGTAATTCCCAAATTATTTTTCATCACTTTTTCAATTGGAGGCGAATAATGGAGCTGTAATGAGTTGTCACAGGGGTGAGCAGGGAACCTGCTGCTCCAGCCCTGGCCCCTCAGGAGCGCTCCTTGGGAAGCTGCTGTTGTGGGATGGAGCTGGTGACTCCCTGTCTGCAAGGTTTCACTAAAAAGCCACAGGTCTGGTGTTGAAGACAGCTCCAGTGGCCCTGGGGATGTCTCCCCTGTGTCCCCAGGATGGGTGCTGGAGCACACTGGCACTGAGGCAGCTCCCAGTGGGTGGCACTGGAGCCACCCTGACCTGCAGCAGTCCATCCTAGCGCTGTTGGGAAGGGAGTTCCTGCCCTAAGGGACACTGTTGGAACAGCCTCAGGTCACTGCCAGGTGCTGTGACATCCCCTCCTCACCTCAGGCTGTGGGTGGTGGTGCCAGTGCCAGGCTGGGCTGGGAGGGGAGAGCAGGGCAGGGCTGGGAGGAGTTGTTGTAAATAGATTGTCTTCCATAATTCTCATGCAACGTTGATGGCCGTGTATTAAAATTAACCCCAGTGTAAATGAATGAAATACTAACAGTCATGATTAGAATTATTGCTTCTTTCTTTTTTTGTTGTTTTTTTAAAAGATGGAATGATAAATGTGAACTTGGGGTGTGGGAAGACATTGGGTTAAGGTTTCTAATTTTTTTTTTTTGACATTTAATTCTGTAATAGAAATTTGTTACTTCATTCCTGTGCATAACTTATTTAATGTCCTGTATAAAGGAACCCAAACTGTTACAGATGTATTTAGTTTGTTCTACTCAAAAGTAGTCAATAAAAAGACTATATTCATCCTCCAGCTCCCCCTTCTCTCTGGGAAGGGGCAGAGGTTTTCAGCAGTGCTCAGGCAGCTCTTGGGGTTTTTGGGGAACACTGCCACACCTTGGCCTTGGCCAGGGGTCTTCTAGGGTCAAAAATTGCCTCCCCTGTGGTGGTGATGCTGTGGGCAGAGCCTGGGAGCAGTGCAGGCAGAGCTGGAGTTCAGCCCTATCCTGAGGGATTTCTTTGAATTTATAGCTCAGTGTGTTGTTTCCTGAGCTTTTTTTAAACTATTTATTTTTATGTGAGCACAGAGCAGCCTGCAAGGTGCTGTCACAGCTGGCTGCCCCCTGCCCACACCTTGGCTTCAGCTGAGGCTTTTGGTCTCCAGGCTGCTGCCAACATTCACCCAGTGGTGAAAATACCCAAAACTGAGGGGTGAACCCCACACAGGGCTGGGGAGGCAGCTCAGGAATCCCAAACCAGTGCCTGCTGCAGCTCTGCCCCTCTCTGACCCAGTCCCTCCCTGGTGGCCCAGGCTGCTGCATCCCTGCATCCCTTGTTTGTCACTCCCAGGGCAGGAATGTGCCCTGGGCCCCATGGGCACAGCAAACCCTGGCAGGGATTGACCATCAGGCAAACAACGGGGTGCTTGGGGGATGGTGCCCATGGGGACAGGGCCAGGCTCTGCCACCCCACCCCTGGGAGGGCCATTTGTGGTTTGGGTGCTGAGCCCTGGGCTGGCTCTGGCAGTGCCCAGCTGGGTGGCAGCAGCAGCTGCTGTCCCTCCGAGCAGGAGCTTCCCTGCTCCCATCTCTGCAGCTTGCTGCTGCCATCCTGCAGGTCACCCCTGGCACCCCAAACCAGGCAAAACCAGCTCCCTAAAAGCCAGGGGCCCCTCCTGGGCTGTCACACCTGGGGCCAGGGGTGCCACCGTGTCACACCCAGCCAGCACAGGGTGTCTGAGGGGAGGCAGCTGCACCCACGGCCCCTTCAGGCACAGCTTTTCCTGCCTGCATCCAGGGACTGGGGCAGAAACACCCAAATTCATGTTTCTGGTGCAGCAGCACCCGCAGGGAGTGGGAGAAGAGGTTGGGGGTGGTAGCAGGTCCCAGGTGAGTGAGGATTAGGGGTGCCACGCTGGTATTGAGGACAGGCAGGGGCACAGGGATGATGTTCTCCAGGCCAGCAGGGTGGCTGCTGTCCCTCCTGTCCCCTGTGCCCTCCCACTCCCTCCACACTGGCTGTGACAATGCATTATTTCCCAGCTCAGCAGAGGCTCTGCTGCTGCAGCACCACCAAGGAAACCCCCAGTGCCACCCTGGAGCAGGTGGGATCTGCTCCAGCCTTCCCCCCTCACTGCCCCCACCCCAGACCCCTCCCCATGAGCTCAGCTCCAGCTTCTGGCACCACTGCCCAGTGCCAGGGCTGGTTTATGGGGACTGAGGAAGCAGCAGACTGGAGCCACTCTGGCCTTCCCTGGCAGTGGGGTGTGCTGGGGACAGGCTCAGCCGTGGGCACAGCTGGTGGGGCACACAGCCAACCTCAAAGCCATGGCACATGCTGCCAGCGTGGCAGGGCATCAGCAGGTACCCCTTGCCAGAAGCACTTCATGAAATATTTTTTCCCTCTCCACAATCCATATCAGGCCAGCTGGCTCCCTGGGCAGGATGTCACAGCTGGCCAGGGCCGTGTCCCCCTGCCCATCCCTGGGCAGCCTCAGCGCCAGGAGGAAGAGGAGCTGAAGGCTCCTGGGATGCAGCACCCACAGTGCTCCCCCAGGGGCTGGGCTGCCACCCCACCCACGGCTCCCCCAGGCAGCTCAGACACCGGCTCAGCAGAGGATAGAGAAATAAATTAACGTGGAAAGAGCAAAAGAGCAAAACACTGGCAGGGCCGAGGCCACTGGAGGGAATGGCGGGACAGGGAGGTGACAAAGGGGACAAAGGCTGTGCCCAGGGCTCCAGGTCCTCCTGCATGCTGATGGGTCCTGGAGACGCTGCCCTGGGTCAGTTGTTGTTCATGATCCACCAGGAAGCTGGGAAGAGAGGGAAAGCAGGGAGGTGAGGGCGGTGGGAAATTGGGAATGGGGATTTGGGGTGGCAGAGATGGGGGAACTGACCCTGCAGGTCCCTGGCTCTAAAGCACCCACCCCACCCTGGGCAGGGAGCCTGGAGAGGGGAGATCCCCTGGAACTGTGGCAACTCCTGCAGGAGAGCACTGGGAACGTGCTCAGTGGGACTGGCAAGTGGGGAGCAGCAGGCGTCAGTCCAAATTAATCCTTGTTTTATGGACTAATATTTTACAAGAGTCTGAAGTGATCCCTGAAAGCAAACCAGGGCTGACTCTGGTTCACAGTTCCCACGTCCCCAGGGCTGGGCTGTGACCCTGCACTCAGCCCCTGGCACTGACCTGGCAGCACCAGCGCTTTGCAGGGCACCTTCAGGGCTCAGGGGAAACACAAATCGAGGCACCAGGTGTATTTGGGACGGGACTCAGCTTATCTGCTACCCAGGCAGTGTCCCTGCTCCTGGCTGTCCCCAGGAGAGCACCCTTGGGCAGGGGACAGACCCCATCACACCCAAACCTGCTGGGGACAGCGTGTCTTACCCTGAGGCTTGCAAAACCTCATTTAGGTCACCCCAAAGCAATTTTCTGCTCTGAAGGGAGCCCCAAAGCTCCTGCCCTGTGCAGCACACCCAGAGCAGCACTGAGGCACCCTCACCTGGGAAGAGCATGGTGGTCAGCAGCTCTGGGGACTCCAGCAAGCTGAGGATGGACTGCTGGAAAGTCTTGCTGCAGCTGGACTGCAAGTGGCTGTAAAACAAGGTGTGGGCTCAGGGGATGTGGTGCCAGGGCCCTCTGCCCACACACAGGGACAGGGCAGCTTCTGCACCCCAGCACCAGCCCCTGCTCCTGCCCTGCTCCCCAAATCCTACATCAGGGTGTTCACCCCAGTGAGCTGCAGATGGGGCACGCAGGGCAGAGCAGTGGCACAGGCTGGGCAAGGGAAGGGAGCAGGGGGCACCCCTTTGAGCCCCCCAGCCCACACACGGGCACTGCCCCACCTTCTCCAGGAGGTCACGTCCTGCCAGAACTCGTACAGGATGAAGCAGGCCTCGTCCGTCAGCTTGCAGGCAGAGACACTGCGGGGACAGAGTGACCCTGAGCCGGCTGGGCAGGCTGGCACGGCCCTGGCACGGCCCTGGCACGGCCCTGGCACGGCCCTGGCACGGCATGGCCACGTGTGCCCCCACAGCCGGGGCAGCAGGGCACTGCTGTGCCCATCAGCCTCCCCACAGAGCTCCCCAAGCCCAGTCTGGCTGCATTCCCACTTCGTGAACAGCTCCAGAGGATCCCAAACCCAAATCCTGCCCCACAGCTCCTGTGTCCAGGGGCCAGAGGAGCTTCCCAGCTCTTACACTGCTCTTTGCTGCTGCCCAGGAGCCAGCACGTTCTGTGTTTTGTTATTTCCCACCCCTCCCCAGCACTGACACAGCTCACCCTGCCAGCCCCTTGGAGCATGTGTCACCTTCACACGGGGGGAAACTGAGGCACGGGGGCAGGAGCTGAGCTCACAGCACAAACCCACAGCTCTCTGTCCCCAGGGTGCTGCTGGGCACGTTCCCTCGTGCCCAGGAGGGGCCGGGCTGCTGCTGGGGAGGCAGCCAGGGGTAACTGCGGTGCTGGGGCTGCAGGGCCAGGGGAGCAGCTGTGCTGGGCTGCAGCAGCAGCAATTCCAGCTGAGGACCGGCCTTTCCTGCAGCTGCTGGTGGGGCCGAGCCCATTCCCAGCACAGTGTGTCACCCAGCAGCTCTGAGGCTGTGTCCCCTGCTCCCACATGGCTCTGCCATTCCCTGGAGGGACCCAGCCCCACGGAGTGTCCCCGGGAGAGCCAGCCCAGAACACCACCCCGCTGTCTCCACAAATAGCCCTGATGACAAAAAAGCCCATCAATTCCAAAGCAAGAGCCTCCCATTCTCTTCACCACCCGTGTCACAGCGAGCATCTTCCTTTTGTTTGGACTGAAATGTGAATTTGTGCTGTTGAACGTGAAGAGCTGAGAAAGGACACTTGAAAGGGGAACAGTGGGAACGTTCCCTGGAGTGGCCCGTGGGACAGGGGAAGGGAGCAGCTGTGCCATCGGGGCAGGCTGGCACTGCCACGTCCCTGCAGGCACAGCAGGGCTCTGGGGCAGCCTCGGGTGCTCGTGGCAGCTTCCCACGGGCTCTCCATCAATCAGAGCTCTGCAGGAGCCCTGCCCTTGACCTTCCCGTCGCTTTTGAGTCCTTCAGTGCTGGAGGAGCTCGTGTTTCTCTGACAGGAGCACGCCACAGCCACTCCTGCAGGCACAAACCCCAACCCTGGCCAGGCACTGGTTCTCACTGGGAATACCTGCAGCAGATGGGATGGCACTGCTGCAGCCCTGACACCATCCTGCCTGCCGTGCCCTGGCCAGCACACAAACCCTGGTGTCCCCGAGGGTGTTAAAACCCCCAAAACACCCCCAGAGCCCCCCACTTACTGCAGGCAGCTGCTGTGCCCGGCCGTGCCCTCGGTGTAGGAGCGGAACGCCCGCCGGAACTCCTCGATGCTGCTCGTGGCCACCGAGATCTGCCTCTTGGCCACCAGGATGTGCTGCGAGGGACAGCAGAGCCTCAGGGGCTGTCCCCTCCTGCCCTCTGCTCCCCCCAGGGACGGGGGATGGGGACAGGGACAGGGATGGGGACAGGGACAGGGACGGGGACAGGGACAGGGACAGGGACAGGGACAGGGACAGGGACAGGGACATGGACGGGGGATGGGGACAGGGACAGGGAAAGGGACAGGGACAGGGACGGGGGATGGGGACAGGGACAGGGACAGGGAAAGGGAAAGGGACAGGGACAGGGACAGGGACAGGAATAGGGATAGGGACAGGGACAGGGACAGGGACAGGGACAGGGACAGGGACAGGGACAGGGACAGGGACGGGGACAGGGACGGGGGATGGGGACAGGACAGGGACAGGGACAGGGACAGGGACAGGGACAGGGACAGGGACAGGGACAGGGACGGGGACGGGGACAGGGACAGGGGCAGACACAGGGACAGGGACAGGGACTTACTGCATCCTCTCCTTTGCACATGGGTTCCTCCTTCAGCGGCTCCAGGCGCGGGCTCTGCGTTAGCACCGGGGAAAAAACAGAGTTACGGGGAAACACCGGAGGTACCGGGAAACACCGGAGGTACCGGGAAACACCGGAGGTACCGGGAGAGCTCAGGCAGGACAGGCACGGAGCCCGGGGACAGCCCTGTGGCAGCCGGCGCAGGGCAGGCTGTGCCCCGCACACCCGTGGGCTCCGTGGGGCCGGGGGGACTCCTCGGCACCCCGGGGGAGGCAGGAGAGGTGGGCAGAGCTGCGGGGGAAGGGGTGCAGGGTGCAGCTCTGTGACAGTGCCAGGGCTGAGGAGGGGGGCTGCTGGCACGGGAGGGAGCCCCAGCACTGATGTGGCCGTGCCCAGGTGTGGGGCACCCCCTGGGCACACACCTTGCACTCCAGCTTCTCGATGATCTGCTGCAGCCTGTTGATCTGAGCCATCCACTGGCTGTTGTCCTCCACACAAACACCTGCAGGGCAAAGGGCACAGAGGTGTCACCCAAAATAAGCTCAGCTTTGTCATGGCCAAAGCTGGCTCAGGACCCAAAACCCACAAAATCATCTAAACCTCTGATTTCATTTAAAAAAAAATAGATTTTTTTTTTTTCTTTTCCTACTGCCCAAGAGATAAAACATTCCCCAGAAGTTCCAGCTGGCAGCTGGACAAGATGCTCCAGGCTCCCTCCTGAAGAAGCCCTCACTGCCCAGTGCTGCTGGAGATGGGGCACTTGGAGACACGGGTTAGTGGTGGCCATGGCAGTGCTGGGAGAACTGTTGGACTCATCTTGGAGATCTTTTCCCACCTCACTGATTCTGTGCTGGTCCCACACCCCCTCCTGGCTGCAGCAGCACACAAAGAACCTGAGGAACAGCAGGTACCTGTGGTCAGCATCCCAGAGTAGGGGTCTGTTGGGGACAGGCAGATGTTCTTCTGTCCCCTGCGCCCACACCGCCTCCCTGACCTCAGGCTGAGCGAAGTCTCCGATTTCTTGATCTCCTTTCTGGAATTAAAACCGAAACAAAGCAAAAGGAGGGGTTGAAGTCATTCCCAGAGGTGTCAGCTCTGCACTGGGCTGAGAAAGGGCTCCTGGCTGTCCCTCCCAGTGAGGAGGGGATGGGGACAGGGGGCAGCAGGTCCCAGGCCGGTACCTCTCCCGTCCCGCCTGCTCCTCCACCGTGTCCACGGCGCACTCGAGGGATGCCTGCAGGGACTGCAGCTGGTGCATGGTTTCCCGCAGCAGGAACCGCGTCAGGAACTGCTCCATCTTCGAGGCTGTCTCGTACCTCTGGGGGAGAGAGGAGAGGATCTGTCAGACCTGCCAGATCTGCCTCTGTGCAGGGCCAGCAGAGCCACGCCTGGGAAGGGCTGTCCCGTGATTAAACCAAACGAGGTGAGTTTCAGTCAAATTTTAATTATCACCAAAAGTGACACTTTGAGGGTAGAAGTAAGGTTTGGGGCACAAGAACCCTCGGGGTGCCTTGCTGTGAGATCACAACAGGGAATGCAGCCACGGTTCCATGGGCACCCCTGTCCCAGCACCCACAGCCCGGCACTGCCAGGCCTGGCCCAGCTCTGCCAGCTCCAGAAGCCGTGCAGGAGGGCAGATGGACACAAGCCACAAGGCAAAGGTCACTCTCAGGGACAGCCCCAGCCCCAGGGAGGGCCCCAGGGCTGGCACAGCACCCCTTGTGCCACCCGCTCACACCCAGGGGCCACCACAGGCTCCCAGCCTTGTCCCCAAGCCCTGCACTGCAGGGCTTGGGGACAAGGCTGGGAGCTTGTGGTGGCCCCTGGGTGCTGGCAGCTCCTCCAGGGACCCCCCCACCACTGGCAGGCCCAGGCAGGGGCTGGCTTTGTGCCCTCTCTGCCCAGGGAAACAGTGCCAAGCCTGTCTGCTTCCATGAATTCCTGATGTGTGCTTACACTGGGCATGTAAAAGTGCATCCAGAGGGGCATGTGAGAAGCTTTGGGGAGAACAAAGGGGTCACCTGGCCTGGAGAATGCCCACAGAACGGGTCAAGAGGCACACCATGCCACAGGAGCAGGTCTGGGAGGCACAGAGAGCCAGGGAAGAGCCTGGACACACACAGAGGCACCCCAAACTCCTGCCTTTCTCTGCCAGCTGGGATCACAGATCCTCTCAGCTCCTCTCTGAGTGCTGTGGGCTCTGCTGGCAGCAGCATTTCCAGAATTATAGGATGTTAAGGGATTGGAATGGACCTCAGAGATCATCCAGTTCCAATGCCCCCCTGCCATGGCAGGGACACCTCCCACTGTCCCAGGCTGCTCCAAACCCCATCCAGCCTGGCCTTGGGCACTGCCAGGGATCCAGGGGCAGCCACAGCTGCTCTGGGCACCTGTGCCAAGGCCTGCCCACCCTCACAGTAAAGAACTTCTTGCATTTAATATCCAGCATAAATTTCCCCTCTTTCAGTTTGATCCCATTCCCCTTGTCCTGTCACCACAGATCCTGACAAAGAATCCTCTCCCACTTCCCTGCAGCCCCTTCTCTCACTGGAAAGGTGCTGGGAGGTCTCCACACACCCTTCTCAGTCCCAACTTTCTCAGCCTGTCTCCAGAGGGGAGGTGCTCCAGTGCCCTCAGCAACTCTTTGGCCTCCTCTGGAATTCCTCCAACAGTTCCGTGTCCTTCTCATGCTGGAGACACCAGAACTGTGCACAATATTCCAAATGGGGTCTCACGAGAGCAGAGTAGATGAGAAGAGTCACCTCCTTTGACCTTCTGGCCCCTCTCGTTCAGGTACAGCCCAGGATTTGGTCCTGTCCAGTGATCACTTGCTTCCTTAAAACAACCTCAAGTTCTGTCCTTGAGCTGTTGGAAAACTTCTGGGGACGGAGACAAGGTACCCAAGCGGGGAGTGAGGGGACAGCAGGGACATACCCAGATGCTTCCAGAGCAGCCACCCGGGCCGTGTTTGCCCTCAGCAGGCCCCTCTTGTCCCGCTGCAGGTTCCTGCTCCGCCCGGCCATGCTGCGGCCCGCGGTGGTGATCGACAGCGGCAGCCGCTTCACCCGGGGGGGCTTTGCGGGGCAGCGGCGGCCCCAGTGCGTGCTGAGGACAGTGCTGGGACAGTCCTGCAGCTCAGGGACCCCCTGGGACAGCGGGCAGCACGGCCCTGCCCTGCACGGCCTCAATGGGGACTGGGACGCCATGAGAACCCTGTGGGGCCACCTCTTGTGCTGCTGCCTGAAAGTGTCCCCAGAGGAGCACCCGGTGCTGCTGGCCGAGTCCCCGTCCTGCCCCGCTGCCAGCAGGGTGAAAGCGGCCGAGGTGCTGTTCGAGGGCTTCGGGGTGCCCGCGCTGCACGTGGCCAACACCGGGTTGCTGTCGCTCTGTGCCCACGGCAGGGTCACCGGGCTGGCCGTGGAGGCCGGGGCGGCCGTGTGCCATGTCACCCCGGTCTGTGGGGGCCAGACCCTGCGGCAGGGCACCCGCTGCCTGGGGGTGGCCGGGGACCACCTGTGCGGGCACCTGCGGCAGCTGCTGCTGCACAGCCCCGCCGAGCCCGCGGCGCTGCAGGCCCTGAGCGAGCAGGCGCTGAGCCGGCTGAAGGAGCAATGCTGCTACGTGTCCTTGGACTACGAGGCAGAGCTCCGGGACGAGGGCTCCCATCACCCAGCCATGTTCCAGACCCCCGACGGGCGCTGGATCACCCTGGGCAAGGAGCGCTTCTGCTGCCCGGAGCCGCTGTTCCGGCCGGAGCTGCTGCGGCACAGCTGCCCCGGGCTGCAGCAGCTGGCAGGGCAGAGCCTGCAGACGGTGCCCAGGCACGCCAGGAGGCAGGTGCTGGGCAACATCGTGCTCTCGGGTGGCTCCTCCATGTTCCCTGGTTTTCCTGAGAGGATGTGCCTGGAGCTGAACCTCCTTTTGCAAGGAGCGGGTGTCCACATCGAGGTGCTGGCGAACCCCGGGAGGGGCACGGCAGCCTGGGCTGGGGGCTCCATGGCAGCCTCGCTCACCTCCTTCCAGCACACCTGGATGACAAAGGGTGACTACCAGGAGCACGGGGCCGAGTACGTGCAAGTGAAATTCCAGTAGAGAGGTGGCAGCCATGCCATCGTGTCACTGCAGGAGTGACTGTAACGCTGCCCTGCGCTGCCCCTGCGCTGCTGCAGGGGTGCAAAATTAAAGTGCCCCAAAAGAACCAAAGTGCATTTCACTGACACTCCAGATTATTTCCTGTCTAATAAGGGTGTGTCCCATCGGGCTGGAAAACAACTGGGGCTCATGCTGGGGATCCAGGCCATGCTGACTGCCTGGTTTGGCTGCATCCAGGCAATCCTAATGCTCCAGGCTGCCTTTCCCAACTGGAAATGCAGCTGCCAGGACGAGGAAGGGACCTTCTCCAGGTGTCAGCACTGCAGGACCCCCAAGGGGAGCCACAAGTGCAGGGAAGGTCCACACAGCACCTACACTGCGGCCACTTACTGCAGGAGGTGATTCCTCATCCTGGCACTGGAACAGGTCAGCACTGGCTGAGGAAGATGAGCTGAAAACCAGGGAACTGCTTTCACTCCTTTAATTTAGCTCTAAAGGTCGTTTGGTGCTTCAGGGAGCCGATTCAGCTCCCTGAGAGGCATTTCCTCACCTGGCTCTGCTGCTGCCTGGCTGAACAGACTTAGCCCGGCAGATGATTAGAAAGGGATCGGAGGTTGTGAAGGAAGCAGCTGGGGAGTACAGCCCAGCTGTCACAGCAGTCTCCTGTCCCCATGGCCAGCCCCGTGCCAGCTCCTCAAGGGACACAGAAACCACAGGATGTCACCTTGAGCTCTGACAGAGACAGGGGCAGCAGTGGGAGGGCGAGGAAGGAGCCTCCACATGAGGCAGGAGGGCTGGTTGCTCCCCAGGAGCATCCACCAGGAGAGGTCCACCCCTTTCCTCAACAAGACAAGGCTGGAGCAGCATCCCTGCCTTCCCGTGGTGTCCTCGTGTGACCCCAAGGCTGCAGCATCCAGAGCTGCCCTCACCCCCCCAGGCTCCATGAACCACGTCCAAAATCATGTCCAGCAATGCCACCCCATTACTGGGGTCAAATATTTCCAATTCCTTCTGCGTTTCTCTCCAGCACACTGAGGAGCTGGAATTCCAGAAGCTCTGCACAGAAGGATTTCATTGTTACCCTTCCACTGCTGGTGTGAAAAAAAGGGAGCAGTGGGGAGGGTCCTGAGCCCCTCATGGTTTTCTGGTTGCTCTGTGCCAGTCCAGGAGCTGTGTCTGACTGGGCACAGCTGTGGCTGGATGGGAAGGGAAGGAAAGGGAAGTGGAGAGAGTGGAGAGGATGGATGCTCATCCCCAAAGCTCTGGAGCCAGCAAAGGATGGGCACAGCCTCCCCTCCTAGCACCAAGGGCCAGGGAGATGGGGGTTTCATCCCTGCTGGAAAATGAATCTCATTTTCCTGCCTCGGGAAGAGGATGGCAGCAACACTGACAAGATGCAGCCACAGCAAACTGAGTTCCAGCTCTACACCTCCAGCCTCTCCCAGCCAAGCATCCCACGTGTTCCCGCAGAGCCTTCCTTGCCCACAGCCCCAGAAAGGGAGAGCTCAGGGCTGGGGGCCTGCCCACCCTTCCCCTCCTCATCCCAGGCTGTGCAGGCACTGAAATCCTGCCAGCACTGCCTCTCTGTGCCTGCCCAGCTCCTGCCAGCCTGGACTCCTTCCCTGCTTGAAGGGGACAAGAGACACTCCAACCTCCCAGGACACACCTGGGGGAATGAGTCCCCAGGGGGGCACAGCAGGAACGTTATTCTCCCACCACATAGCCCTGCACAGTCTGGTTTGATGCCTCAGGGTTTAGCTTTTCTATTTTTCAGATTCTGTGCTGCTTCAATGTGTACTTCTGAGCTTCCTATGAGGGGATGGTGAGCTCTGCACAGAGCAGGGAGACAAAACAATTCCTTCTCCAGCTGGGCACCAAGGACAACTGATCCAAATCTCAGCCCCAAGAGCACAAACAGCGTGGGCTGGAGAGAGAAAAACAAGCTGGAATGGGACAATGGAGCAGAATTTATAAAAGTGAGAGCCCCCATGAGTGCTCGTGCATTTTGGGGCCATTTTGGTTCATTTTGGGTGCAGCCCTGGCTGGGCTCTGGTGCTGCCCAAGGTGGATCCATGGAGGCCTCCTAATAAATCCTGACTTTATTCTGTAGCTTTGTCCAGTCCCTGTTCTAGGGCAGCCTGCACAAGGCATCAGTTTCACTGCCCAAAATCCAAATCCGAGCCCTGTTATGCCTCTGGCACCACCGAGGGCCCTTCCCCCAGCAAGCAGCCAAATGAGGTGCTCCCATCTCTGAGGTGTCCTGCCAGCCCTGCCACAGCCTGGGCACACAAACACTTCCCCTGGCCTGGGGCTTGGAGGCTTCTCTCCAAGCACATCACTCCCCTTCCTGTGGGAATTTACTTTGGTTAGCAATTTTATTTTTCGGGGGTACTTGGGCAGTACAATTGTACTACAAACTTGTGTTTCTGTATATAGGAATGATGGGGAGCAACATTTAATTATGGATTTATTTTTTTTTTTTTGTACTGAAACATTCAGCCTGCCCTGAACCCCACAGCTCGCCCAGGGCAGTCCCTGCACCCCAAACTCACAGGCACAGGCACCAGTGTGGGGTGAGAGCCCCCAAACCCCAGTGCCAGCCCAGGGCACGCTGTGCCAGGAGGGGATTCAACAGTGCCAGCTGCCTCCTGCCTCCTCAAACACAGCACACCCAGGGGAATGTGCTGGAGACAGGATGGAAATACCCATCCCTCAGGAGAGCTCCAAATGCTGCTTCACCTTCCAGGAGCAATTTGGAAAATGTCATGCCAGGGGAGAGAAGGAACCTAAAACTTCTCATTTTGGGGTATAAAACCAAAATCCTCTCCTCAGATGCTGCACAGAGGTCAAACCCTCTGTGAGCAGAGGTTCAATAAACTCACCAAGCACAGCATTTTCTGCTCATGGCAAAGGAAATCACTCAGCAAGCTCAAGACAAGGAATTTTGGTTGTGCACTGGTAACTCAGCTCTGTTTACCCAGTTGAAAATCACCAAGTTGCCAAGAGCTACTGTAATTCTGCTTTTGAGGGGTTTTATTGATTTCTTATGATGATAGTTAAGCTCAGCACAGAATGGAAGGGTGGCCACATAATTCCTGTCAAAGGATCAATGAGGCTGCCTGGCTTGGAGAAGTATTTATGTGAGGGTTTGCAGTGTTTGCACACTGGAGAATGGAAAGATTTTAGCATACAGACCCCCTGTGAGAAACATCAGGCTGTTTTCTGAGCTATTCCCACTTTCACCTCCTACCTTTACAAAATTACATTGCAAACATGAAGTTCAGCCACAAAATAAGGTGTAATTAGCCCACTACAGCACAGCTATCAAGTTATATTTTACAAATAAGTGGGAATGACAGAATGTGGAGGGAAAACCCTCTCTTCTTGACAAGGCATATTTTCTTCAGCGTGTTCCTAGCAGCCCAGTGAGGAAGGATGGAGACAAGGGAACCCCTAATGGTTTGGTTTCCTCCTGCTGGCCTGCAGATCCATAAAAACAACCAGGAGCAGGTTTGCTGCTCACACACACACACACACAGACACAGACACACACAGAGCTTCCTGCAGCGTGGGAAAGGGATTTCTAGAAAATTCTTAAAATCTGACAGAAGGTTCACATATTTGTATGTAAACATTGAGATGAGAAATGTTAACTTAGAAATATTATAGAATAAGATAGATATTGTTGAGAGAGAAATGAAACTAAAAATAAGATTTAAAAAGTGCAGTATAAGTATAAAGTATTGTATAAAGTAGATAAGTATATATATATAAGTATAAAGTATATTGTGAAAGTATAAAATAAGTTTTTATAACTATATAGTATAAAGTAGATAAGTGTATATATATATATATATATAAGTATAAAGTGTAGTGTAAGTATAAAATAAGTTTTTTTTAAAGTGTAGCTAAAGCTGATAGGCCAAGAAATGCTTATAATATTTTGTAATTAGGAAATAGTTGGTTTCTGATTGTGATGGTGTGAATGATAACATCTGTATTGGCTCACCCTTCTCATGAGACTGAAAATGGAATAAAAGTTTTAAAATCACCTCTCAGTTGCCCCAACTCTGGGTCAGGAAAGGGCCCAATCTGACACTGCAGTGACTGCAGGCACCAGGACAAAGCCAGCTTGCACCTCCCACACTTTATCCCAGGGTTTCTCCTGCCAAGGAGATGGAGGACCTGGCAGCCAGGAGCCAGCTGGGACACAGCCCAGCCACCCATGCCAGGTATCCTGGCCTGCAGGGACACGCACAGAGCTGGGAATATTCCATCCCAAGAAGGCTTTTGGCAGCACTGCCTCAAACCACAGCTCCCAAACACCCCCATGGCACCTTCATGTCCTTATTCCCCTCCTGGGTAGCTCAGTGGCGCGCTCTGAGCAGCCCCCACAGAGCTGTCTGGGCTCCCTGTGTGTTTTGCTGCTCCTTTTTGTGGGAATCCAGGGCTTCCCTCTGGCTGCCCTGGCAGGTCTGGGACCCTGGCAGGGGGTCAGGAACCCCCCTGGACAGAGCCCCCAGAGACACTGTCTGTGATCTCTGTCCATGCAGAGGAGTTTTCAATCTTACAGGATGAATTACCAGCTCTAAGTGTTTGATAAGAGTAATAATTAAGTGTGGCACAGGTGCAAAAGTAAAATTTTAGGTTTCTAGATTAGGGGTCCAAGGGGGACAAGATGGAGGAAATTGGGTGTGCCTTGTCCTTTTTCTCCTTCTTCATGCCATCCATGTTTCACTGTGGTGTTGGCATTTTTCTGTTGGTTCAGGCTGGGGACACACTGTCCAACGTAGGTGACAGATATTGGCACGTTATTGTAAATCCAGCACAGGTAGTCTCTGGTATTTAATGTTTGTACCATCCCACTGAGGGCAGAGCCCCACACGCTGCCCTGCAGGACAGAGCTGCGGCAGGGCAGCAGAACATGTTAGAGATAAACAGAATAAACAACCTTGAAACCAGCACAGACCAATTATGGCTTCTTCTTTGGCAACGGGGCTGAAAGACAGAGACTTTCTACAATTTCAGGATCATCAATAGCACAGATTCTGACACCTTTTCACGTTTCCAGCTGTGTCCCTGGGGGATGCAGCAGGGAGGAGCTGCTGGAGCTGGGTCATGCCCTGAGCAAGAGATGCTGTGCTGGGATAGCTCAGGCAGGGATCTCCTCCTCCTCCTCCTTCTCCTCCTTCTCCTCCTTGTCCTCCTTCTCCTCCCTGCCCGCCCAGAGCCAGCCCAAGCCCTCCCAAGCACAGCCTGGGCAAGGACAGGCAGGACCTGCAGGTCCTTCAGCAGGGCTCTTCCACTCAGGAGCCTTTGCTCCTTTTTTTGTTAAGGTTGGGATTTAATGCTTGAGATGGTATTTCTTGTTTGGATCTAGGTGTTTATTAGTTCATAACTATATTAGAGTTTCACACATTGTGAGTTCTATAGTACTTTATTTTAATAAACTAAAAATAGAGCTGTATCTCTCTCTCTCTCCAAGGTTTTTAAGGATAAACTGTTCAATTAAGAAATGACACTTAAATTATTTTTACTTTTAACTTAATAACTAACTACTTGTGGCTTGTAATGTGAGTTTTTTTATCCAATTACACAATACTACTCAAACACATGAAGAAGCAGATGAAGAAGGAGTAGCTTCTGCCCTAAAACTTCTATCTTGTTTTATATATTATTCTAAATTCTTATTATTTTATAAACTATATATTGTATTATAACACATATATTATAGATGATATTATATTAAATTATATTATATTATAGATGATAATATATTATATTATAGGTGATATTATATTATAGATTATATTATATTATAGATTATATGATATGATATGATATTAATATATAATGTTATTCAATTATTCTTTATATATATTATTCTAAAACCTTAAACTATAAGTTTTCTACTACATTATATTACACACTTCTATTTAAACTACACACTCATAATCCTAATTCTATTATTCAGTTTTGGAAGCACATCAGGGCTGGGACCAGAGCACCTGATCAGGATCAATACCTGCACTGGGTCACATCAGAGCCCTGATAAGGATCAATACCTGCACTGGGACACATCAGGGCTGGATCAGAGCCCTGATCAGGATCAATACCTGCACTGGGACACATCAGAGCCCTGATCAGGATCAATACCTGCACTGGGTCACATCAGAGGGCTGGATCAGAGCCCTGATCAGGATCAATACCTGCACTGGGACACATCAGGGCTGGATCAGAGCCCTGATCAGCACAGGTCCCTCCTGGCTGAGGGCAGTGCTGGGAACACTGCACTGCCCTGGCTACAGGCAGATCCAAACAGGTGGAGAAACGAGTCCATTAAAATTTGCTTCAACAGGAAAAACCTGCTTCTCTTTTCCAGGGAGCACCTGGAGGGAGTGAATGCCTCACAGCAATACTGTGGAGCAGAGAGACTGTGCTGCCCTTTGGAGAAATACGTGGCTGTACACATCCATCACCCAAAAAAACAGAACAGAAAGGAACTGAAAAAAGCACAGCTCTCAGTGACGCTCCCAGAAAGCCTCCATGGACAGGACGCCGCGAGGAGCTGCTGGAACAGGCACTGCTGGTGGAACTCAAAATGTCCCTCAGACATTTTTGGATGTTCCAGGCCCAGGTCAGAAGCATTTGAGACCCTGGCAGGCAGCTGGAAACAGCTGTGATTTTGGGTTTGAGCCATGGAATGAGTTACCAACCTTGCAGGAAGAACAAGAAGTCACAAAAGTTTAGATATTAGAGTAGAAGTAGTTACAAAGTAGAGGGAAGAATTTTTGAGTGCTGTACAGGGGGTTTTGGTTTTGTACATGGGGGTCAGAAGTTTTAAGTTGGAGGGATTTGGGCCTGCCCTGTCCTCCCTCTTTCTTCTCCCTTCCCTCCATGTTCTTGGTGATGTTGGCACTCAGAGATTGGTTTAGAGTAGAAAAGCACCATTTAATATAGGTAACAGGCATTGGGGACAAACTGTAACCATGTAACACGTAATGTACCATATAAAAGATAGAAAGGCACCATTTAATATAGGTAATAGGCATTGGGGACAAACTGTACCCATGTAACACGTAATGTACCATATAAAAGACAGCAGCAGCCCTGGGCGGGGAGAGAAGAAGCAGTCGGGAGTCAGAGAGGATGTCAGGGTGTGTGTGTGCCTCTGCCTGAGCTGTGAGCAAACCACAGCAGCCCCAGAAGAAAATCTTTTAGATAACTTGCAATAAACTGCCTTGAGACTGAAAACAGAGACTGCTGAGCCTTTCTTTGGAAGCTCAGCTTGGAGGAGAGATTTTTTCACCACACAGAACCCCTGAACCAGGCCTGGGGGTTCTGTCACATTGCCAGAGCCCTGCAAGGGGGGATGATGTCCCCAGAGCACAGATAAGGTCTCCACAGCATGACAGCTTTGGGTTTACCCTTCCCTGTGAATACCTTTGAAATTATTAAGGAAAGTTCTAGGATGTTGCCCTGGAAGAATTCACCACAGGCTTTGAGAATGTCCCAAGGGTGAGTCAAAAGGTGCTTCTCCCATGGTGTCCTGCAGCTATGTTAATCTGCCCTTTCTCACAGGTCACTGCCCTCTGTACTGTCCCTGTGCCCCAGATCATTGCTTCCTGACCCCATACTTAACTGAGGACACTCACTGTTTGCCCTTTGTCCCTGGATTCCTTCTGTGTGATTCTACAATAAACCTCACTGGAAGTTTACACAGAGACCCTCTCTGTCTGTTTTTGCTCTCCTAGCTGTGGTGAGAGTGTGGACTGAGTGACTGTACTGGCCTGAGCAGCTTTCTCAGAAGATGCTTTTGGGGAAGATAGCAGCAAACCCCATCCATTGGTAGCAGGCTGCTGCCCTTCCCCTCCTCCAGGCTGTGCCTGCACAAGCACGCACAGACACCCCTTCATTTGAGGAGTTTGCTGCCTCCATCCCCCAAATTCCACATTAAGAAGCAGCTGAGCTCAGCACAGCTCCAATTTCACACCCAGCTGCCATCCTTACCAGCTTGGTTTTGTCCATGGCTGCCAGCACCGCAGCGTTGAGGGTTTCCAGGGCGGAGAGAACATTCCTGTATTCCCCAAGGTACGCCGAGAAATAATCTGCAGCAGGACAGAACCCCATGGTCAGCTTCCATCTCTGCCTCCCCTGCTCCCACACACAGCCCAGAGCTGCAAGGGGGGATCCCCCTCCCTTTCCAGAATCATTCTCCCACTTGGACTGAAATGAAAAGTCCTTCCCTATTGTTCTGGGTTACGAGATGTGGCTGGGGCTGTGTGTTCTATTTCCCATCTCTCAGAGCTGGGGCAGTTCTCTGCTGTTCCCTGGGCAGTTTTTTCTTCATCTCTCCCACAGCCAATCCTCCCTCCAGGAGATCTCTGCTGTCCATGGTCACTGAGTGTCCCTGCATGGCTGAGAAAATTCCATCATCCATGGGGAGATGCTGCGCCCAGGGGAGGAGCCGAGCATTCCTATCTGGATCCAATCTGACCTGGGAACCCACAGCAGCCTTTGCCCCCTGCATTCCCAGAGGAGCAGCTTTCTTCCCCCTGCATTCCCAGAGGAGCAGCTTTCTTCCCCCTGCATTCCCAGAGGAGCAGCTTTCTTCCCCCTGCATTCCCAGAGGAGCCCAGGCCCATCTCCCCCAGCCCTGGAGCTCCAGAGGAAAACTCCCCCCTTGTGCAGGATCCTGCTCCAGCAGAAGCACAGCTGGCACTGCAGGAGGGCTGAGCCACCCTGGGATGGGACTGCTGCCACCTCCCTGACCCACAGGGGCACAGGGCCTGCTCTCACTCTGCCAGTGCTGTTTTGTATTACTGTATTTTTATTTTATTTTTATTTTATTCCCTAATAAAAACTGTTATTCCTATTCCCATATCTTTGCCTGAGAGCCCCTTACTTTCAAAATTATAATGATTTGGAGGGAGTGGGTTTGCATTTTCCATTTCAGAGGAGGCTCCTGCCTTCCTCAGCAGACACCTGGCTTTAAGACATCTATCCCCTTGGGAAAAGCACCTCTGTGCTGGGATCCAGCCACAGGGACCTTTGATGCCACCCAGTCCTGCCCAGGTCAGACACACACAAGCCCCACCACACACCCTGGGGAGGGGAAGCTCTCCAGGACAGGAAAATCCCTGACTTACCACACAACTTCTCCGTGTCCACGTTACTGCAAGAAACACAAAAAAGCTGCTCTTAGATAGTGGGGCTGGTGTGAGGGAAACAGTGGTGGTGAGCAGGGGTTTGGGGTCTTGTCTTGAGTCCTGGTGGGTTTTCATGTTCATGTATTTTCACATGAAAATACATGTGAAAAATAAGGAGCTGCACAGATTCAGAGCCAGCAGCTCAGGAGCCATTCCCAGCCCCTGCAGCACCCAGGGGCTGAAGGAGCAGGAAAATCTGTTCCACCAACATCTCCTGGAGCTGGAGTGTGCAGGGAGAGCATCTGTGCCAACAGAGTGGGGTAGGGATGGAGATGCCCCACACCCCTGGCTGGCCAGCCGGGTTGGCAGCCCCATTTCTGAGCCCTGGAGCTGCTTCTTCAACCCAACCTCTTCCCCCAAGGGTGGGAAGCATCCAGCCAGGGCTCCCTCCTTGTTCATCCCTGAGCTCAGCCCAGGTCCTCCCCATGGCCAGAGCCCCTCCAGAGCCCCGGTGCTGTGGGGCTGTCTGCAGGCTCCCAGGGGCTGGATGATTTCACAGCCCTCCAGAGTGGTTGTTCCTGCCCTGAAGGCCATGAAAGCAAGGATCTGGCTCCAAAATCCTGGAGGCAGGGGTCAGACCCCCACCCTTGTCACTAACAGAGAGCACTGCACTGCACAATCCCCCCAGCATCCCTGCAGGGCTCGGGCAGGTCCCTCCTGTGGTGCTGAAGGTGCTGCTGGGGTGGAGAGGGAGGGGGGAATGTTCAAAAAGAACCCCAGGTTTTGGGATGGTGCTGTAGGATCTGCTCAGGTGGCCAAAGCCACGGAGGTAGAGCTGCTCTCAATGCCCAGAGCCTGCAGGGACAGAGCCAGCATGTCATTTATTCAAATCAGCCTCTGCTCAAGGCGTTCTGCTGCCTCAAAATCCCCCAAATGATTACAGCCAATTGAAATCCTGATTGGAAAAGTGGAAGAGAGCCCCAAAGAGAGTTTTTCAAGTGTTTTTTAAGTGTTTAAGTGCTGTCACACATGGAGGAAGTGGCAGTACCTGGAGTTTGCCAGGCTGTCAGCACAAGGAAAGCTGCAGTGCTGCTGCCCAGGGGGTGGGAAACCATGGCCACATCACCCTGTTTCCCCTCTGACACTGCTCACAGGGTAAAAACACCCCCATATAAAATAAGAGAACAGTGTGTGAAGTGCTCGAAATGCCATTTAAGGTGAAATAATTAAGGCAAAATCTTCCTACAGCTGTTCCCGAGCCATCAAAGGCTGTTTCTGTCTCTCCCTTTTTCTGGGCTGCCATGGAGAGCACTTTAACAGCAGGCAGAGGTTCAAAGCAGGGGAATATTTTGACCTGAGGGGTGGCAGAGCCAGGGCAGGGGGACAGCACCTGGAGCTCTGAGGCAGCACAGAGGGGCAGTGTGAGGCTGGGATTCAGCTCAGCTATTTTAAACCCGCAGCAGCTGATTTAGGCAGGGCTCTGCGCACTGACCTGGCACTGCAGGCACTTTTAAAGTGGATAAAAAAATCGTGTTTCCCTCGAGACTCAATACAGAAAAACCTGCAAAGCCCCTCGCTCTGCCAGCTCCACTCTGCCCAACTTTGCTGATCCCATCTCTGGCAGCTCTGCCTGACACAGACACTGGGGTTTGGGGCACCAGTGTACATTGCAAAAAGGTTTTGCACCTTCTGAAGTTTTCCCCTTTATTTCTGGCAGCTGCCTGGAGCCTGCAGAGCTGCTGCAGTGCTGCAAGAGCCCTGGCACTGCAGCATGCACAGCACAGCCTGCCAGAGCAGGGCAGGGAAACCCTGGCTCCCACCTGAGAGAAGGGTAAAAGTCACCACAGAGGGGATGTGGACACCTGGTGCACAGGTTATCCAGGCAATTGCACTGCTCCCAGTGAGCACCTGGGGCTGGGACTGTTCCAGCAGGAACAAGGAGCCACCAGCTCAGCTCACTGCCATTCCCAGCAAGGTGTGACAAGGAGCTGCCATCAACTCTCTCCCTGTGGCTTCTAAGGTTATTAATAACTCTTTATATCTTGGCTGCTTGCTGCTTAGAAAGAAATGTTAACTAATCAATCACTAAACCACTGAACATTGAACCCATCAACGACATATTGTGGCAGAAACCATCCCTCTGGGAGCTGTCCAGGAGAAGATCTGCTCCCTTTTCCCCCTAATGCAGCCTGTACCATCAGCAGCCCTGCACGGGAACCTCTCCCATGTCCCCCAGCCTCGGCAGCCCCAGGGCACAGGCAGGGCAGGACAGAGCACAGCAGGCAGACCCCAGGGCTGCTGGGGCCATTCCCACGCTGCCAGAACTCATTCACACCAAAAACCGAGTGGAGCTGCGGGCAGAACATGCACACCAAATCCTGACCCATTTTGCAGGGCTGCCAGGGGCAGCAGGATTTCCTCTCTGCCATTCCCACTCCAAGAGAAGAGCCATCCTCTGCCTCCAAAGCACTCATCCTGAGACTCTCCACATTTCCCATAGTTGTATTTTGACTGTGCTCAAACCACTGATTAACTGTAATTAAGCCTGAACTGATGATGGAGGAGCTTGTCATCATTATGCTGTTGGGATTTTGTCAGAATGTGCCTGGAATTTATGTAAGAAAACAGCAATCAGCTGCAGAAAAGCAGACAGGATTTTTTAAAATCATTTGTCATGTTGGGAACCTCCACTGCCATCACAGATCTGGTTTCCAAATCTTTTTTGTGTGACACGGAGTGTTTCAGTCACTCTCCATCATCAGGGGCTGGAAGATCCTGCAGAGTCTCTGAGTAAGGAGAGAAGAGGGAATCCACTCAAATTCCTTATTCCAGACACTCACAGGCTTGAGGTTATTTCCACCAAGAGACGTCAAGAGGCACCAGGTCAGCACTTCCATCCCTTGTGGCTCCAGGTCAAAGGCTCTGAGCAATCTGCACCCAGTTCCTGAACACCCTCATGGAAAGATGCATTTTCTAAATTTCCCCACCAGGTACAGGACAGGTAAAATCCACCTGCCACCCAGACTGGGAGGAAGCTGCAGCCCCTTGTCCCCCAGCAGCACCCCAGTGTTTGGACAGACCCCAGTTCCTCCCAGTGCCAGGACAGACTCACCCACAGCAACCAGCTGGGTACAGAGACCCCAGTGAGGCCAAAAGATACCCAAAAATCTGGGATGAGAATCCCAGCTGAGCCCAGGAGAGCCCACTCACAAGGAGATCAGAGCTAATCACAATTCCTTCTCCCGCTCTTTGGTGCTTTCTTTTTTTTACAAGTACATGAATGTCACACAAAGCAACCTACAACTGCTATGCATATTTTACCATTATCAAATCTATCATAAGTGTAGGTACAGAGAAGCGGTGGTGGTAGGTCTAGCCAAATGCTTTGGACTCCAAACCTCACAAGCATTTCAGCATTAGGCCTACAACCTTTCTTTCTTATTTTCATTTTAAGAACAAGTATTTTAACAAGCATTTATTCTTTCTTATTTTCATTTTAAGAACAAGTATTTTAACTAGTATTTATTCTTTCTTATTTTCATTTTAAGAACAAGTATTTTAACTAAATTCCTCACTTCTAAAGACTAAGCCCTTCCAGACAAGGAATAGTTTTAGGTGACTTTGTACTGCCCTGAATTCCCCGTTACACACACCCAGCCTGCTCGGGGTGGAAAGCAGCTCTTACATAAGTGACAAGCAGCTCCTGAGTCAGCAGTGGCAAAGTCTGTGACTCTGCCCAGCCTGTGCTGTGTCCCCACACCAGCACACACTCCTGCAGACACACAGCTATTCCTGGAGTACATTTTCCAAAGCAAAAGAACAGCATTTTCAATGCCTGCTCGCTTTCTGGAGCTGCAGGAAATCCAATGGTGCTCTCAAAATGTCTGACTGCTGGGGGCTTTGAACACCTGCGTGTGGCAAGAGGTGGGTTTGTCTCACCCTGACTATTTATCACACCCGCCTCCCAACGTCCTCCACCTCCAGGCAGGCAGTTTTAGCTTCTCCTGCGTCTCCTCCACGCTACTCACTCTGAGTGACGCCTGTCAATGCCACTGAACAACTCCCACAGCTCCTCCGAGCTCAGGATGCCATCAGCGAAGTAGTTCTTGAACTCCTCAAATGACAGCTTCCCATCATCTGCATTCAAAGAAAAGGGAAGAATAATTATGTGTCTGTGGGACGGCTGGGCGTGCTCTGCATGAGAATCACAGCACAAATCTCCCTGAGAGCGTGGCCCACCAGCCCAGCAAAAACACAGGGTGCTGCTGCTGGAACTGCAGGTGGGATTTCAGCCCTTTCCTAAAGGCCCCATTGTGGTGTTCTCAGAAAGGCACGCAGGCTGTCCAAGAATAAACAGCACACTGAGGGCAGCATCACGTTTCCATGGAAAGAAAGTGCTCTCCATGGACTCAAGAGCTTTCTCCCTCCTCTCTGTGGAGGACTTCAGCTCCTGGGCTGCATTGTGACCTGCAATAAAAGCATCTCCTAAGCTACCATGAAGGAAAAGAGCCCAAGAGAGTGTGGGGCTCAGGGAAACCACTTGTGATTTTGGACTTCTTGCTTTATGGATGCTGGACTAAAAACTGGGCAGCAGAGCCTAACTCCCAAACACCAGGGGCTCCAGGGGCACCCAGAAACAGGAGCACCTGTAAAACCCTGGGCTGAGCACAGAGACAGAACCAATCCTGTGAGGGACCAAGCAGAAGCCTGGCAGCCCCTGGGCGGGAGAAAGGCTTGGAAGGGGCTGTGTGCTGCGTGGTGCACGGATGGGGAATTGGGGGAGCCCATTCCCCAGCCCCTGGGCAGGCTCTGCGATCCAGGTGAAGCAGAAAAGCATTTCCCACCCTCCCTCTTCCAGGCAAACCTCGCAGTGGGAATGAGGCAGGCAGGGAGGGGGGCAGCAGCAGGGACACAGCACTCACCGTTCTTGTCCGCTCGCCGGAAAATCTGCAAGACAAAACACAACAGGGCTCAGCGTGGCAGCAGGGAGAGAGGGCAGCTGAACAGAGCCAGGCAGCACCCAGCACCACGGAAAATCACCTCCAGGAGCTCAGGGAGAAGTGCCAGCTGCTGGGACTGCACAGGCTGCTCCGGGAAAATCCCACTAAACCCATCTCTTGCCTCTAATGCACAGAGCCCCTGGCTGAGAGAGCCTGGCACTCACAGCAAGCACATTTGGAGAACACAGAGGCGAAGCAGAAAAGACTTTGCTACATCCTTGTGCTGGCAACTCTTTGATTTTTCAGTCCATTTAAACAAAAGAACATTAGGAACAAACCCAGTCTATAAGGAAGCACTTTGTGCATCACCAACACTCAAACACCTGCACCGAGGAGCAGCTCCTACCCTGAGCTGTGTAACCCCACCTCGGCGTGCACACTCACTGTAATTAATTATTAATGAATTAATTAATCTGCAGCTGCTTCTGCCACAGAGCACAGCTGGAGAGCTGCTCCAGTTCAGGGTCTCAACGCAGGCTCCCAGCCATGAGGCTTCTGCCCATCACCCAGGAGAAAGCTGGGGCTGCTCAGCCCTGCCAGGATCTGTTTCCCCAGGAATTATTGGAAGGTCTGGGGCTGACCCCAGTGAGGAAAAGAATCACTTCTGGCAACGTTTTCCCAGACTAAAATGTTCAAGGTGTTGTCCAGCACATCCTAATGGAGACAACGACAGAAAATTTTCTATGTGGCAGCTGTCTTGTATATCATCCTGACTGTTGAAGAAATCTGCAGGTCTGAAGAAAGATTAGGAAAGAAAATAGGGCTGGGAAAGGAGACAGAACTTTTCTATTCTTGCCCCCCCATCCCCTGGGATTCCAGCCAGCCAGGCTACTGCCCCGCCAGCATTTATTACTAAACAACATTTATAATAATAATAATAAAAAGCATAATAATATTATAATTAATTATTATAGCTATAATATAATAATAAACAGCACGATATATATTATAATGCTATAATTATAACTATAATACATATTATAATTATAATGTAATAATAAACAGCATTTATTTCCTGCCAGGAAAGGGGGGTGGGCACTCCCTGAGCTCCACACAGCACCTGCTGCATGCACTGTGGAGCTGAGATGGGAACCTGCTGCTCCCAAACAGTGGTGATTCCTCTGGATTTTAAAGCAAAGCTTTCTCCAGGCTAACGGGCTCCTTGTGGAGCAGGGAATGGGTCACACCCTGCCATGGACTGTCCATCAAGGGAGAAGCTTCATCCTGCAGAGCTCTGTGGCATCAGAGGGACCATGGCTCATGGAATGACACCTCTGTGGCTCCGGGTGTCACAGAGGCCACCCAGCTGATCCCAGAGCCAGTCAAGTGTCACCCAGGCACTTGGGGCAAGGACAAACATTTCCCACTCACGGGCTGGCCTTGCTCAGCAGGGTTTATCTGCGGCCTCAGAGGCAGAACACAATTTCAGGGGAGATCCCCTGGGGCTGAGAAAGTCTCTAATCCAGGGCGAGCCCATCATGAGTGTGGCAAGCACATTTCTCTGCCTCTCAGGATTTTTCATAGAGGTGCACAGAGAGAAATGAAAGAGAAAACAATTTCTGTTTCTGCTCCTTGTTTTTCCTATGTGGAATGTGTGTGGAGAATTGCTAACTGGGGTGATTGCTTGATTGGATTCTGGTGAGGATTGTTTGAGTCTGATGGCCAATCCAGCCCACCTGGGGCTGGACTCTCAGAGAGGGTCACCAGTTGTGGGAGGGTTAGAGATAGAGTCAGAGAAAGCAGTATGTAGTTTTAGTATCCTCCTTTTATATAGCATATTAATGTATTTAGCATAGTTATAATAAAGAAATTCTGACTCTGAACTGGAGTCAGACATTGTCATTTCTTCCCATTGGGTTCACCTGCATTTCCAATAGCTGAGCTCAGCAGGAGCCTCAGCACACAGAGTGGGTGTCTCTCCCTCGCTCACAAGGCTCATGAGTTACACCAGCCAGCGCACACCCGACAGCTCCTGGAGCTCCAGGGGCACGAACGTGGCACCAGCAGGAGCCGTGAGCGGGATTAGGTCTGTGTGTGCTGCTGGAGGGCCCTACAAGCATCCCTCTCTTGCCTCAGGGCGGACCAGCAGCCTCAGGGGCACAGGGACACTGCCTGGAGCCCGGGATGCTGCCCTCAGCCCTTGGCCCTGTGCCCAAGCAGCCACAGCCTCACCGGGCCCGAGGGAAGAGGCACTGAAACAGCATTTATTTATGGGATGAGCCCCACACGTACCCGGGAAGGAAGGAGGTGAGAGGATTTTTTTATGGGATGAGCCCCACATGTGCCCGGGAAGGAAGGAAATTATAGGATTCATTTATGGGATGAGCCCCACATGTACCCGGGAAGGAAGGAGATGAGAGGATTTATTTATGGGATGAGCCCCACACATACCTGGGAAGGAAGGAGATTATAGGATTCATTTATGGGATGAGCCCCACATGTATCCCAGGAAGGAAGGAGATTATAGGATTCATATATGGGATGAGCCCCACATGTACCCCGGGAAGGAAGGAGATGAGAGGATTTCTCCCTGCCTGCAGGTCTGGAGGCGGCTGCGGGACAGGCAGGCAGGGACAGGAGGGGACAGCTGCCTTGGGGACAATGCCCATCGACCCGCGGCAGGCTAAGGCAGGCTGTGGCCAGGCACCAAGAGCCATCCTGCCTGAGCTCCCGTGTCCCGGGAGGGGACAGAGCAAGCCCAGCCTGAGGGACAAATCCTCCCGAGGCTCGAGATGCTGCACAGGGCGATGGCAGCACTGCGGTTCGTGCCGCGCCTGCAGGGAAGCATCTCAGGCAAAGTCCTCCTCCTCCTCTTCCTCCTCCTCCTCCTCCTCACCTCTCAAAGGCAGGAGATGTGCAGCAGGTCCCAGCGGAGCAGCAGCCACCGGGATCCGTGGTGGGCAGTGCTGCCGGGGGATGCTCACCCCGAGCAGCCTGGAGGGCAGCTGGACACTGGCCAAGCGGCCAGACCCAAAAGTGCAGAGATGAAACTCACCCTGCCGAGCTCTGGAGCAAAGGTGCGAGCAAGGAGTCACAGGGTAGAGGAAGAGAAGCCGTCAAAACCCAGAAAGCAGCTGCTAGCGTTGTTAACATTTCCCATTTTAATTGCTTTAATGACACCCTGAGGGATGGATATGCGACTCAACGAGTGCCCTGAGGAGCTGAGCTGGAACACAGCTGTCACCACCGCCCCCTCCTGCCCACCTTCCCTCAGCCAAGTAATTAGCGCGGTTAATGATGCTGGCTGGAGAGTCCCCCAGGCAGGGGACAGACCCTGACCCCCAGCTGGCAGCTGCGAGTGGCACCACGGCCGAGGGGTTCCCAGCGCCTTCCTGGGGATGCCAGGAGGTCTGGGACTGGACCAGACGTGGCATTCACCTTCCCAAAGTGCTGCCCGAGATCTGCTGTTCCCCTTCTCTGGGATGGGCTGGGGCACGGGGGTGAACCTGGAGCGGGTCAGGACGGAGGTGACAGCTGGGACATGGCAGCTGGGACATGACAGCTGGGACATGACAGCTGGCACCGACCTGGGCTGTGCGGGTGCCCGGCACCACCAGCCCTCATCCTTCAGCCTGGCTGGCAGGGGCAGCACCTCTGCCCCCACATCTCCTTGGTCCCCAGGGTGGCTTGGAGCGCAGCGGTGCCGGACAGGCGGCAATGCCAGGGCACTGTCACCAGGGAGATCCGGGCAGGAGCAGGAGGGCGGTGCTGCAGAGGTGCCTCTGGCCCGGGCTGTGCCTCTGGCCCGGGCGATGGCCGGCGTGCAGCCGCCTCCCCCGGAGCCCCGGCCCCGTCACAGGAGGGCCTGGAGGGGACGCGGTGCGACAGCAGGAACTGTGCCAGCATCTCTGAACACAAACACAGCCACCACCTGCACTCCCAGCTCCCCCGTGCCACCCACAGCCGCCAGGATGCCCAGGCAACCTCCAACCCGCACGGAGCATCCTTGCTGCACAATCCCGGGGGCTGCACCCGGGGGCTGCCGCAGACAACGCTCTGCTGGATCCCAGCTGTGAACAGCTCCAGGGAACCTTCCACAGCGTTCCTGCCACACACAGCTCCCGCTCCGGGAGTCATGACAGCCGGCTCTGGATGAGGCGTGGGCTGTTTCCAGCCACGCAGAGGCCCAGCGTTCAGCAGGAGGACACGACATCATTATTGAAGCCATCACGACACGCACAGCTCCGGGCTGGCACGGGCACATCCCTCGGGCCGGTTCTCCGGGAAGGAGCCTCCCCCCGACGCCATCCGTGCGGCGGTGCCCGCGGGCAGCCCGGGGCTGGGCAGGGGCGCGGTACTCACGTCGTGGAAGATGGGCAGCGGCTGGCGGTGGGGCTTGGGGCCGCGATCTGCTGAGAGCAGGCACACGGCCAGCAGCTCGGCACACGACATCATGGTCCCGCCGGGCGCGGGGCTGCGGGCAGCGGGCGCGGAGAGCGGTGCGGTACCGGAGGGTGCGGTACCGGAGGGTGCGGTACCGGAGGGTGCGGTGCGGTGCCGCAGGGCACGGCTCGGTGCGGTACCGAACAGATGGGCTGGGCGCGGAAGGAACGGCCTCGGCGCGGTACGGGTGGGTCCGGTTCGGTGCCTTAGGGATCGGCTCGGTGCCGCAGGGACGGGCTCGGTGCGCTGCTGTAGGGATGGATTCGGCTGCTTGGAGCTGTTCTCGGTTCGGCAGGGATGGTTCGGCTGGGTTCGGCTCAGCTCGGCTCCGTGCGGCTCGGCTCGGTTTGGTTTGGTTCGGCCCGGCCCAGCCCGGCTCGGCTGGGTTCGGCTCGGCTCGGCTTGTCCAGGCTCGGCTCAGCTCGGCTCAGCTCGGCTCGGCTCGGCTCGGCCCGGTCCGTGCGCAGGTCGCGCCCCGCCGATCCCGACTCAGCCGAGCGCCTCCGCCCCAGCCAACTTTGGCTCTGCGGAGGGCCCGCCCCTTCCGCCATCCGATTGGCCACAGCGCGTGATTGGCACCAGGAACCACCAATGTGCTTGGCGGAACGGAGAGGGGCGGGGCCTGGCTGGTCGCGGTGCCCGCTCGCCGCTGGGGCGGTCCCAGTTGGACCCAGTAGGGCCCAGTGGGATCCCGCGCGTGGCTGTGTGGCCATCCCGGAGTGTCCCAGTGTGACCAGAGGTCTCAGTGTTGGCTCCACAGTAGCCCTGGTTGCCCCAATGATCGCAATGTGGCCACAGGTGGTCTCAGTGTGGTCACTGTTGGCCGCACTGTAGCACTGGGTGCCTCAGCTGGCCCTAGGGTGGCTCTCGTCTGGTGATGGATGGTCCCAGTGTGGTCGTTGTTGACCCCACCATAGCCCTGGGTGCCCTAAGTGAGGCCCTGAGTGGTCCCAGTTTGACCATGGGTGGTCCCAGTGTGGTTGCTGTTGGCCTCACTGTAGTCCTGATCACACCAGTGAGGCCCTGGTTGGTCCCAGTTTGACCATGGGTGGTCCCAGTGTGGTTGCTCTTACCCCCAGGGTAACTCTGGTTGCCCCAGTTGGCCCTGGGGCTGCCCCAGTTTCGCTATGGGTGGTCATGGTGTGCTCATGGCTGGTCCTAGCATAGCCCTGGTTGTCCCACTGTGGCCCCAGCTGGACCACAGGTGGTCCCAGTGCAGTTGCTGTTGGCTTTGGGATAGCCCCGATGGTCCCAGTTGGTCCCAGTTTGACCACAGGTGGTCCCAACATGGACACTGATGGCACTGGGAAAGTCCTGGTTTCCTCAGTTGGCCCTGGGCTGGCCCCAGTTTGACCACAGGTGGTCTCACTGTGATTTTGGTGCCCTGGAGTGGTCCCCTGACACCCAGGGTGGTTCCAAATGAGTTCCTGGTGGTGCCAGCTCCTCCATGCCCTCAGTGCCAGGCAGCCTTTGCTCTGAGCTGCTTCCCTCCGGAGCAACACGCCAGCATCCTGGTACCTCCAGAGGTGTGAACCCCCTGCCCCAGCAGGCTGGGGGACATGAGGAGGAGGAGGAGGAGGAGCTGTCCCCATCCCTTGCCTGGCACCTGGGGGATTGTGCCTGCATTCCAGGATTTCACTTCCTGAGAAAGGGGCATGATTTTGTAAAATCCCAGGCAGGCTTTGCCTCCCTCAGCACCACCTCTGCTCTCCATGGAGCTCTCCAGGACGCCCTGAGTGCTGAGCTCAGCTCTGCTTTAAGCCATGTCTCACATCCAAGCTCTTTCCCCACCCCAACGTGACCGAGCTGCAGCACGTGGAGCTCCCTCACCTCTGCTCCCTCTGGGATAACGTGCTCCAAGCTGAGCCCACGGCATCACAGCTATTTTTACCATCTCCCAGCTGTTCCAGGTGTGTGCAAGGCAAAAGAGGTGGAAAAAGCACACCTGGGCCCTGGCAGGGGCATCCGAGGGCTCCAGGGTACACGTGCACCCCCTGCACGTGGCCCAGGGCTGTCCCTGTCCCCAGGGCTGTTGAGCATGGCCATCACCAAATCCAACTGAAATGGGAGCAGGACACGGGCAAGGGGTGCACAGGGACAGGGGACTCACCTTGCCAGCGAGCATGGAAGGAGCTGGGATGATGGTGAGGCTCTGCCATGGATCCAAATCCCCCCCTTGGAAGGGCTTCCTGCACTCCCATCTGCTCCAAAAATCCACGCTCGGTGCCCAGTGGAATCCCTGGGAGTCACCACGAGTTTCCACGTGGGAAGGAGCAGCCTGAGAGTGAGGATGAAGTTCAGGCAAACTGCTGATGGCAGGAGGTGCTCCCGACTCCCAGAAAGCCACGGCAGGGAAGGGGGACATGGCCTCGGCTGTGGGGGACACCAGGGCTCTGCTCTGCTCCCCAGCACCTCAACGGGGAGGAATGAAAGGAAGCAGCCACTCAACAGCATCCCAGAAATAAACCATGCTGCTCTTCACCTCCCCGAGTTCCCTCCTCGTGGAGGGAACGGGAGAGATTTTTGGAAGTGGAAATAGGGAAGCAGGGGGTGGGATGCCGAGGTGGGGCAGGACACCCCTGCCTATAGAGACCCCAAACCCCTCTAGGACTCCCTGAGGGGGATTAGGTTAAAGGTACAAACCCCTTATGGGGGACACTTAATGCCACTGCCAGCCTGTCCCAGAGCTCACCCCACTGTGGAGCTCTCCTGCCTCCCCCAGATCCCAACCCTACAGCACAGGGCCAGGACATCCCAGGGCTGCCCGGGCTCAGCTCCGTGGCCAGATCCTGCAGAGCATTTCCCAGTGCCAGTGGGGTCACCACTGCTGCCCAGCAGCACCCCAGGCTGGATGGACACGGTCCCTGTGGGGTCACAGTGCCTGGCACTGAGGGCTGAGGCAGGGTGTGTGCCAGGTGCCTTCACCTGACAGAGAAAAGCAGCGTTGGAGCAGATAAATCAAACCAGGCAGTGCCTGGGGCTGCTTCCCAACGCTGCCCTGTGCTGTAGGGAGCACTGTGCTCAAGGACAGCTTCGATGAATGGACATGAGAGATCTCTGAAGGCTGATCTGAGAATATCAGGTTTATTAGGGATGGTGAAAGGTCTTGCTTGGAGCTGCCAGATGCAGCACATGGTCGGATGCTCCAGGAGAGGGTGGAAGTTCCAAGAGAGGGGAAGATCCAAGAGGGCGTCTGACCCCTCAGAGACCCCTTATCAGGGGGTTCAAGGTGGGCTGGAACAAGACTTAGGCCAATGGGGTCACAGACACCTGATGCTTCAGAGGAGGGTTACAGGTGTGAGATGAACCATACATTTTGGGGGTGAGATAGAACAGTCCATCTGACTTTTGGACCCCTCTGTAGGTAAGGGTATTGTCCAGCCAGTAGGGGGGATTATTTTCATCCTGGCTGTACTATTGAAAATCTTTTGCCAGGCAATTATATTTATCCATCCTTTCCAACACTGTGCTCTTCCAAAGCAGCTACCATCAGCTCCCTCTCCAGCATCCGAAGAGCAGAGGGAATCCTTCAGCAGCATCGTGAATCATCCCAGGAGGCAGAGTGGTTATTTTTGTGTGGCTCAGGAGGAGCGGGCGGTGCAGCCCCCGGGGCTGGGCTGTGCTGCTGCTGCTGGGGCTGGCTGGCTGTGGGGACAGCCCTGTGGAGCTCAGGGTGTCAGTGCAAGTCCTCTCCCCTCTCCTTGTGCCCCCTGGCTCCCACAAAAACCATTTTCCATGCCGGGGTCTCTCCCCGTTGAGCGCTGCAGGTCAGCATCACCACGGAGGAGGAGGGATGGCTGGGGAGAGGCTGGCACATGGCTGGGCTGAGCACCCTGCAGGAACTCATAGAACCTCCACACCTGCCCGCTTGTGGGAATCCAGGGCTTCCCTCTGGCTGCCCTGGCAGGTCTGGGACCCTGGCAGGGGTCAGGAACCCCCCTGGACAGAGCCCCGAGAGACACTGTCTGTGATCTCTGTCCATGGAGAGGAGTTTTCAATCTTACAGGATGAATTACAAGCTCTGAGGGTTTGATATGAGTAATAGTTATGTGTGGCACGGGTGCAAAAGTAAAATTTTAGATTTCTAGATTGGGGTTCAGAGGGGACAAGATGGAGGAAATTGGGTGTGCCTTGTCCTTTTTCTCCTTCTTCATGCCCTCCATGTTTCACTGTGGTGTTGGCATTTTTCTGTTGGTTTAGGCTGGGGACACACTGTCCAACGTAGGTGACAGATATTGGCACGTTATTGTAAATCCAGCACAGGTAGTTTGTGGTATTTAATGTTTGTACCATCCCACTGAGGGCAGAGCCCCACACGCTGCCCTGCAGGACAGAGCTGCGGCAGGGCAGCAGAACATGTTAGAGATAAACAGAATAAACAACCTTGAAACCAGCACAGACCAATTATGGCTTCTGCTTTGGCAGGGGGGCTGAAAGACAGAGACTTTCTACAATCTCGGAATCATCAATACCTCAGATTCCAACACCCCCTCAGGGGACAAACCCTGCAACGGAGGACACACCTGGGTCCGTGCCCTCCCACCTGGTCCCTGCCTCCTGGCCTGGCTCTGTGGGACAGGAGCCCCATGGGTCAGAGCAGCAGCAATACTGTTCCAGTGTGTGTGAGAAAACCCCATCTGAAGGGGTGGCAGCGTGACAAACACCAGATCTTCCAGCCAGGCACAGGGGTCACCCATGCCAGCCCGTGTGTGCACTGGTTTGGAGATGGCAGGGCTGGCACTGGTGCTGTGCTTTGGAGGGCTGGGAAAGCTGGGAGAGGGAATGGTGTGCGGGGCTGAACCATGGGGTTTGGCACCCCACGCCTGCCCAGCTGTAGGAACAATCCACAGCCAGCCAGGGACTGCCTCAGGGGTGGGAAGAGAGGCACAAGCATGCAGGCAGTGGTGATGGGCTCTCTGTGCCACCCAGCACCCACCCCCAGCCCATCCTCAGCCTGGGATGCCATTGCCTGCCCGTGCAGGAGCAGGGTGAGTTTACACAGCATGCTCAGGGTGAAATATTTATCAGGCTGTTTAAAGGAAAACCAGGCAGGAGGCTGGGCAGGAGGAGGGGAGAAATTGCACAAACACAGGCAGGAAGTAGCACAGCCCTGGCTGCCACTAGGGCAGTGGCCATGGCCCTGCTGAGCCCCATCCTGGCTGTGGGGAGCCCCTGGCAGCCCCAAACACGCCTCCCTGGGGGTCCCCAGTGTCCCTCGGTCCTGGTGTGCTGCAGAGGGAATCGGGGCACCCAGGGTCAGGGCTGCTGCTGGCACACAGCGTGTCCCCAGCGAGCAAGGACACAGGGACCTCCAGCTTTGGGGCAGAACTGCTGCCAGCAGGTGCCTTGAGGCTTCACACTGGCCCCATGCTGCAGCCACAGCCAGGAAAATGCTGCCCCAAAACCAGCAGCAAGGCAGGGAGGGAACCAGGCAGGAGAGGAGCCAAGTGAGGACAGGGACTGCTGAAAGGAAAGCAAACCCCATCCCAAC